TGTGTGCTTAGTCCCCTCCTGTACTCCCTGTTCACCCACAACTGCATTGGTGGGCCTGATCACTGACGACAATGAGACAGCCTATAGGGAGAAGTTCAGAGACCTGGCAGTGTGGTGCCAGGACAGCAACCTCTCCATCAACATCAGCAAGACAAAGGAGCTGATCGTGGACTGATCGTGAAGCCCGCCCCCATTCACATCGACGGGGCTGTAGTTTAGTGGGTCGAGAGCTTTAAGTTCCTTGGTGTCCACATCACTAAGGATCTATCATGGTCCAAACACACCAACACAGTCGTGAAGAGGGCACGACAACGCCTCTTCCCCTCAGGAGACTGAAAAGATTTGGCATGGGCCCTCAGATCCTCAAAAAGTTATACAGCTGCACCATTGAGAGCATCTTGACTGGCTGCATCACCGCCTGGTATGGCAATTGCTTGGTATCCGACCGCAAGGTTCTACAGAGGATAGTGTGGACGGCCCAGTACATCACTGGGGCCGAGCTCCCTGCCATCCTGGACCTCTATACCAGGCGGTGTCAGAGAAAGGCCCTAAAAATTGTCAAAGACTCTAGCCACCCAAGTCACTGACTGTTCTCTCTGCTACCACATGGCAAGCAGTACCGATGCACCACGTCTGGAACCAACAGGAACCTGAACAGCTTCTACCCCCAAGTAATAAGACTGCTATATAGTTAGTTAACTAGCTAACCAAATATCTACCTGGACTATTTGCATTAACCCTTTTTGCACTAACTATTTTTGACTCATCACATACGCTGCTGCTACTGTTTACTATCTGTCACTTTATTCCTAGTTATATGTAGATATCTACCTCAATTACCTCGTATCCCTGCACATCGACTCGGTACTTGTACCACTTGTATATAGCCAAGTTATCCTTACTCATTGTGTATTTATTATTACGTGTTTTACTTTTCTATTATTTCTCTATTTTCTTTCTCTACATTGTTGGGAAGGACCCGTAAGTCAGCATTTCACTGATAGTCCACACCTTGATTTGATTTTCTGTCCTATGTCCTGGGTGTCAGGGTAAAGCTAACCTAACGTAGCAGGTGTAAAAGAAACGCCTGAGGCGGGGTCCCCACATCTGGTTGACAGGGGAAAAGTAAGCTAGGTTGAAGATACTGCATCCTTGAAAACTGGATGTTTCTGGTTTCTTCCAACGGGGTAAAGCAGAGACAGAAAGGCCAAAAACGGACTGACAGACACACAGGGATATACAGAGTGAATCATTGTGCTTCTACTGACCACTGACACTGACTAGGCTACATCGGGATTTCGACATACTTCGATCTGGTTTTAGACGTTCAAGCGTGGCCTGGAGTGTTTTTTTACCCCCCCACGGGCCGGATTGAATGCCTGCCTAAAAGTGTAGTTTGCCCACCCCTGGATTAGTGGCTACATCCACAGAGAGGATACAGTTATCTAGTGAGTACTGAGTCATTTCACTGTAGGAGAGACTGTGAGGTTCTCATAGGAAAGGCATGGACTAGACTGGATGGTCAAATAGTGAGTTTATGTCCAGCTCTATACGATGGGATGACCTCCAACCGTCTGCAGTGTGCTGTCATTTCCGTGGGTCAGACCAGAGCACTTTTAGGCGTGCAGAGAATGTTGTCTGATTTCAACTAACAAACACATGTAACGCAGTGCAACAAGAGGACTGGGCCTGTATCAACTTGTTATAAAGGATATGCCGGACACCAGAGTACCAGTGGAATAATCTATGTCATATTTCTGTAACATGTACATACACAGTTACCCTGGAATAGAACCTATGCAATGCAACATTTCACAGGGCATTCTTTTTTAGAAGGACTGTTTAAAACAAACTGGTTTGACATCAGTCAAAAATGTTCAGGGGAACATTGTATTGCTGACATGTGTGACATGGATAATTGCAAACTTGTCATAATCCTCAGTGTTGTGCATTGGAGTAATTTAGGACATGGGAGGAGTTATTTAGGTTAGGATGTTGACATTCAAGGGAATGGTTTGATATTTGCATGTGTACAGGGGGGGGGGGGTGTGAGAGTGTTGTTGTGGTAGCAATCTCTGGAGCTGGGCCATGACCTCGGGGTGGGGGTGTAGCATGTGTTCGTTTGGCCAGGCAGTAAGAGTAACACTACACCCCTGGGTGGGAGGAGGAGGGCTAGGGAGGCCCAGTTAAGAGCGCACAGCATGCTTTGCCAGTGCCACAGAAGAATGTGTAGCCCTTTCAGGTGCTGTGCAATTCCAGAAAGTAATGTAAAGCGCTCAGGCAACAATAGAATGTCTTTCAACACTCCATGGCAATAATATGAATCCTTCAATTAAATGGTTAATGTTTTGAAACTTTGACCATTGAAAACCTCAATTTTTTTATTATTATCTATAATTCTCTCCTAAAAATATTTTGGGTCACAAGTGTTCTTTAAATCCACCACAGCTATCTCTTCAATGTCTATACATCAAAATGCATAGTAGACTGGCCTATGTAAGTACCTCAGCTACACTCTTAGAAAAGAGGGTTCCAAAAGGGTTCTTCGGCTGTCCTCATAGGAGAATCCTTTTGGGTTCCAGGTAGAACCCTTTCGGTTCCAGGTAGAACCCATTTGGGTTCCATGTAGAACCCTTTCTACAGAGGGTTCTACATGGAACCCAAATGGGTTCTACCTGGAACCGAAAGGGTTCTACCCGCAACCAAAAAGGGTTATTCAAAGAGTTCTCCTATGGGGACAGCTGAAGAACCCTTTACGGTTCTAGATAGCACCTTTTTTTTCTAAGAGTGTACTTATAAAACAGCCCCAGGGTCTCCCATTCACAGGCTCAGTCAGTGTGGATCCATTTCTGGAATTTGAATAACCAGAATGACAACTGGTTAAGTTTGAACACTTCTCTGTCCATAATCTCAGCACCCAGAACCAAATATTTAAGTATGTTACAAGAGACCATCATCAAGGGTCAAGGACGTAAAGAACTGATGAAAAATTAAAAGGGCATGTTTATAAACAATGGATAAGCTTATATTTTGTATTCTGATTGGGTAAGGCAATTGAAATAAGCTCATGAGGCATTTATATGTAAGTTAGATTCTTCAAGAATCAATGGCTATATCATTCATTGAAATGTCCAGAACGGATGTACCAATACCAGATTGCCCCTTTAAAGTTGATAAATATTTTTTTCACACAAGGCCTGAATGTTTGTAGGCTATAGCTCTTGAGTTTGATCAAGATATTTCTGCGGCATCATGCGCAGACGTTGCATGCATCAACCAATGGTTGCGTGCCATGTCATTGGCTGTGCCCTCAGGCACCAGATTGCTAAAACATATGATGTTGTCAGCTGATAAGTAAAATACCTATGCCGGCGTTGTACGATCTGGCATGTGTCAGCAACGTCTGAGCAGGTGAACACAAGATGAGCATGATGCTCTGCCAAGGGGCGTGTTCCTCTGCTCAGACGTTGCTGTTGCCTGCCAGATCTTACAACGCTTCAATAGGTCTCTTACATATCAGTTAACCACATCATGGTTGCGTTCTCCTGCTCAGATGTTGCATGCATCAACCAATGGTTGCGTGTCACGTCATCGACTGTGTCATCGACTGACAGATTGCTATAACATATGTGGTTAGCTGATACATAAAATACCTATCGAGGCGTTGTAAGATCTGGCAGGCATCAGCGATGCTGGCCAGAGGAGCACGCTCCATATGTTATAGCTATCTAGTGGCCGCCTGCACGGTCGATGACGAAGCAGGCAACCATTGGTTAATGCATCCAATTTAGGCACCGAGAAAAAATTATCTCCTAGATAATAATTCTAATGACTCATTCGCTGTACTGCAACCTCTGAGTGCCATAGAGAATACACTGAGCGCATCCGTGACTGGCATGCTTGCACCATTACTACAGAGAAAACGGATTGTTTCTAGCCCAAACCCTTCAAAAGCTATGACACATATTACCGGCGCAATAATGTTTTATTTTCATCTCATATTGGCAGGACAGCATTTTACATTCATAAACCATGTCACAGGCCATTATAAAACTACTCGCAAGCCGCTAACCTTAAATAACCTAGGTCAGTCGTGTTACAGCATTAGCGAGTTATAATAATAATATGCCATTTAGCAGACACTTCTATCCAAAGCGACTTAGTGATGCGTGCATACATTTTTGTGTATGGGTGGTCCCGGGAATCGAACCCACTACCCTGGCGTTACAAGCGCCGTGCTCTACCAGCTGAGGTACAGAGGACCACAACCTGAAAGTTATCATAATATTTGTGGGAACTTTACCAGTAGTAGGCAAACATTTGGTGTCACAGAAAGAAAGGAAAACGGAGAGCTTATTCAGGTGATGTGCTTCTAAAGTAGCTAGTATCCATAGAGCCATGTAGGCTATATCTCAATCTCCTAAACCCGCCTAAATGTATTTGTTCTCCTAAATTGATGTACCCCTAAAACAAAATGACTGACTGGCCTGGCGGGTTTAGATAACAGAAGTCTAAAGGAGGTGTGACAACCTTCTTATAAAAGCATCGACTGTTGTTGATAAGAGAGGGGGTTGTGACGGTAGCCGGATAGAGCAAGTCAAAGCCTGTCCAAGAGCTAGAACTGACAGACACTATCTAGTGACGGCATAAACGCGCGTTTTGGGTGGTTCTGGTAAGAGCTGACAACAAAGCAGTTTTATATCCAGCTTATGTCATTGAAAGAAAGAAAGACAAGTAGGGAAACAATGATTTCACGCTGGATGGATGGTGGGCTTTCTGCCTTCGCATTGTGCACACATCTGTAGCGTGTCTTCTGCTGCAACAGTAGGCCTCATGCTGGCTTTGACTAGTACCTACCCGTACCGTACATCCTCGTGTGGTGGTACTGTACATTGGTTGTTTCACACTTCAAACTAACCAACCACTTTTCCTTATTTCTCAAATTTCACAGACAATTTCGTGGGCTATCAGCGGAAGTGTGTGAGCTCCAGAAACCGAACATGACTGAAAATGGACTTGGGCACCGGGAGAGGGTGCTTAACATGGACACCATGAACCCGAATGTAAAGCGGGTTGAGTATGCTGTCCGTGGTCCAATCGTGCAACGTGCGGTGCAGATTGAAAAGGAGCTCAAAGAGGTACATTTTCATGTGTCTACAATTGGATAGAGGCTTGCAATAATCACAACTTGTCATTCATTGGTCCTGCTGCTGCTTTCACAAACAAAGCTTTTGAGCAAGGGGCTGACCTTTTCCTTGAGAGAGAGTGGACCGCCCAGGTGACATGGAGCAAATTACTAGATGTCATCGTCAATGAAGTTGCCCATTAAGCTAATGTAGCAGGCATAAAAACTTGCCAATTAGCCATAAGAAGGTGACGAGTAGAGATGAAAAGTGGAATCCCCACCCACTGACTTACTCAGAAGCGTTAGCGAAGTGCCTCACTTCAACCTGGTCTCAGAGCATTTCGTATTATTCTGTATGTAAATCCGAAACCATCATTTAGTATTCAATGTTACGTTTGGCATGGTATGTATTCATTTTTTAATGTCCATCATTCATTTCATATGATATGGTACTAATTGCAATTTGTACAAAATATGTTACGAATTTGCAAACCGTACAATATGTTATGGTAGCTAGGTTATGGTGGCTAGGTATGAAAAATGTATGCACTTACTAACTGTAAGTCGCTCTGGATAAGAGCGTCTGCTAAATGACTAAAATGTAAATGTAGGTGGTTAACACTAACTAACGTTAGCAAGCTAGCCAGAATTCTTAACATATCATACGTTTTGCAAATTCGTAACATATTGAACATTTTGCAAATGTATTATATGTTTAAAAAAATATGAATGGAATGTCTCGGTGGACATACAGAATAATACAACATGCTTTGAGACCAGGTTGAACTAAGATGTTTATCTATTTGAAAGGATAAAATATTCAGTGTTCAGGCCAGGGAGATATTGACAGCATATGAATTAGGCTATTCTAATATTTGGCCAGTACTTAATAGAGGAGAATCCTAGCCGATTTTGAGTGCTTGAGAGACTGTTTTACAACCGGAGTATGCAGTATTGGTTTTACCAACTGCACACCTGTATCAACTGCCTGTCGGCCATTTGCGGTTATATCATACTAATTTCAGTTTGCCGGATTTACATTTACTATGTTACGTCTAGTCTATAACACCAGGCTGCTCACTTACACAACCCTGCATGCTAAATGAGTTGTGTCACAGACTTTCAGTCAACCTATTCACTATAAACTTTTAAAGCGTTGTGTGCACAAACACCGTCAAATAGTGTAGCGCTGCATAATGATGGTGAGTTTTGGGCGGCAGGTAGCCTAGCGGTTAAGAGCCTTGGGCCAGTAGCCGAAAGGTAATTAATTGCTGGTTCGAATCCCCGAGCTGAATAGGTGAAAAATCTGTTCAGCAAGGCGCTTAACCCTACTTGCTCCTGTAAGTCGCTCTGGATAAGTGTGACGCTGATCTATGATAAGTGCTTTCCTTAGGAGAGAACACGAGTAGGCAAAGGATAATGGTCTTTGTGAGGGGCGGTGATGTTCTCCTGGGCTGCACTGACACTAATGCTAATGCTCACTTGCTCTTTTGGAGACGCTGCATTGTTCTCTCAAGGCAGTAGTCTCCTAAAGGATTTCCACATCTAGTGGATTCACATATTAATGCAATGCAATCAACTGAAAGGAGTGGATGTCACTCACTCTTATGGCCTGAGGTGGGGATAAGAACCAAACGTTTCAGAGTAGACATTGGATTGGTTTAGAGTTGACATTGGGTACATTCCACATCCCTCTTTTGTCTGTGTGAATTGACTCCCTCCCTTGGGCTGGTCTGAATCTGTGTGGAGCAGTCAGAGATCCTATTAAATTACTTATACTGAACAAAAATATAAACTTAACATGTGAAGTGTTGGTCCCAAGAAATAAAATACCCCCACATTTTTCCACACGCACAAAAAACGTATTTCTCACAGTGTGCACACATTTGTTTACATCCCTGTTAGTGAGTATTTTTCCTTTGCCAAGATAATCCATCCACCTGACAGGTGTGGAATATCAAGAAGATGATTAAACATGATCATTACACAGGTGCACCTTGTGCTGGGGACAATAGAAGGCCACTCTAAAATGTGCAGTTTTGTCACACAACACAATGCCACAGATGTCTCAAGTTTTAATCAAGGATCTCTCTGTACTTTGCTCCGTTCATCTTTCCTGCGATCCTGATTAGTCTTCCAGTCATGCTTCACTGTAGGGATGGTGCCAGGTTTCCTCCAGACGTGAAGCTTGGCATTCAGGCCAAAGAGTTCAATCTTGGTTTCATCAGACCAGATAATCTTGTTTCTCATGGTCTGAGAGTCTTTAGGTGCCTTTTGGCAAACTCCAAGCAGGCTGTCATGTGCCTTTTACTGAGGAGTGGCTTCCGTCTGGCCACTCTACCATAAAGGTCTGATTGGTGGAGTGCTGCAGAGATGGTTGTCCTTCTGGAAGGTTCTCCCATCTCAGCAGAGGAACTCTGGAGCTCTGTCAGAGTGACCATCGGGTTCTTGGTCACCTCCCTGACCAAGGCCCTTCTCCCCCGATTGCTCAGTTTGGCCGGGTGGCCAGCTCTAGGAAGAGTCTCGGTGGTTCCAAACTTCCATTTAAGAATGATGGAGGCCACTGTGTTCTTGGACCTTCAATGCTGCAAAAAAATTTTGGGGCCCTTCCCCAGATCTGTGCCTCTACACAATCCTGTCTCAGAGCTCTATGGACAATTCATTTGACCTCATAGCTTGGTTTTTGCTCTGACATGCACTGTCAACTATGGGACCTTATATAGACAGGTGTGTGTGCCTTTCCAAATAATGTCCAATCAATTGAATTTACCACAGGTGGACTCCAATCAAGTTGTAGAAACATCTCAAGGATGATCAATAGAAACAGGATGCACCTGAGCTCAATTTCGAGTCTCATTGCAAAGGGTCTGAATACTTATGTAAATAAGGTATTTCTGTTTTTTATTTTTTATAAATGTGCAAAAAATTCTAAAACCTGTTTTCACTTATGGTGTATTGTGGGTAGATTGATGAGGAAAAAATTAATTTAATCCATTTTAGAATTAGGCTGTAACAAAATGTGGAAAAAGTCAAGGGGTCTGAATACTTTCCGAATGCACTGTAGATAACCATATCTGTGTAATAACTGCAACTCTCTCTGTTTATCTGCAGGGAGTTAAGAAGCCCTTTACTGAGGTCATCAAAGCCAACATCGGTGATGCACATGCCATGGGCCAGAAACCAATCACATTTCTCAGACAGGTCTGTTAATTGTTGTTCTAAACCTTTGGTACATTTTATATCCAAGTGTCCCATTATTACAGATGACTATTTACTAAACATTACTAGATCTGCTTTGTTCCTGTCAGGTTGTAGCGCTGTGCGTGTACCCGGATCTCCTAGAAGACGACAAGTTTCCAGAGGATGCTAAAAACCGAGCACGGCGCATCCTTCAGGCCTGTGGAGGGGGGAGTTTAGGTGAAACACCTAGTTCTAATGTAGGCAAGCAGTGTGTACATACTGTATGACAAACATTGGCTAAATATCCATTGGACTTGTAATTTTACTCCAGGTGCATACAGTGCTAGTCCAGGCATTGAGGTCATACGACAGGATGTGGCTAAATTCATTGAGAAGCGGGACGGTGGAATTCCCAGTAACCCTGACAACATCTATCTCTCTACCGGGGCCAGTGATGCCATAGTGGTAAGAATGATGATGACAACCGTACTTTATTTTAATTTCTGGTCAATGGCAATTGGATCTACAGTACATGAATCTCCCCTTCCGTCCTTTCTACCTCCCTCACATCTCCTCCCTCTGTCCTGTAGACCATGCTGAAGTTGTTGACGTCAGGCGAGGGGAAGACCCGTACAGGGGTGATGATCTCCATCCCTCAGTACCCCCTCTACTCCGCTGCTCTGGCTGAGCTGGCGGCTGTCCAGATCAGCTACTACCTGGACGAGGACAAGTGCTGGAGCCTGGACGTCGATGAGCTGAGGAGGACTGTGAAGGCAGCCAGGGAGCACTGTAACCCCCGCGCCCTCTGCATTATCAACCCTGGCAACCCCACAGGTACAGTACCAGTCAAAAGTTTGGACACACCTACTCATTCAAGGGTTTTTCTTTATTTTTACTATTTTTGACATTGTAGAATAATAGTGAAGACATCAAAACGATGAAATAACACGTATGGAATCATGTAGTAACCACAAAAGTGTTAAACAAATCAAAATATGTTTTATATTTGAGATTCTTTAAATAGCCACCTTTTGCCTTGATGACACCTTTGCACACTCTTGGCATTCTTTCAACCAGCTTCACCTGGAATGCTTTTCCAACAGTCTTGAAGGAGTTCCCACATATGCTGAGCACTTGTTGGCTGCTTTTCTTTCACTCTGTGGTCCGACTCATCCAATCTCATTTTGGTTGGGGGATTGTGGAGGCCAGGTCATCTGATGCAGCACTCCATCACTCTCATTCTTGGTAAAATAGCCCTTACACAGCCTGGAGGTGTGTTGGGTCATTGTCCTGTTGAAAAACAAATGATAGTCCCACTAAGCCCAAACCAGGCGGGATGGCGTATCGCTGCAGAATGCTGTGGTAGGCATGCTGGTTAAGTGTGCCTTGAATTCTAAATAAATCAGTGTCACCAGCAAAGCACCCCCACACCATAACACCTCCTCCTCCATGCTTTACGGTGGGAACTACACATGCGGAGATCATCCGTTCATCCACACCGCGTCTCACAAAGATACGGCGGTTGGAACCACAAATCTCCAATTTGGACTCCAGACCAAAGGACAAATTTCCACCGGTCTAATGTCCATTGCTTGTGTTTCTTGGCCCAAGCAGGTCTCTTCTTCTTATTGGTGTCCTTTAGTAGTGGTTTCTTTGCAGCAATTCGACCATGAAGGCCTGATTCACACAGTCTCCTCTGAACAGTTAATGTTGAGATATGTCTGTTACTTGAACTCTGAAGCATTTATTTGGGCTGCAATTTCTGAGGCTGGTAACTCTTATGAACTTATCCTCTGCAGCAGAGGTAACTCTGGGTCTTCCGTTCCAGTGACGGTCCTCATGAGAGCCAGTTTCATCATAGCGATTTTACGACTGCACTAGAAGAAACTTTCAAAGTTCTTGACATTTGCGTATTGACTGACCTTCATGTCTTAAAGTAATGATGGACTGTCGTTTCTCTTTGCTTATTTGAGCTGTTCTTGCCATAATACGGACTTCGTCTTTTACCAAATAGGGCTATCTTCTGTATACCCCCCCTACCTTGTCACAACACAAATGATTGGCTCAAACGCATTGAGAAGGAAATAAATTACACAAATTAACTTTTAAGAAGGCACACCTGTTAATTGAAATGCATTCCAGGTGACTACCTCATGAAGCTGGTTGAGAGAATGCCAAGAGTGTGCAAAGCTGTCATCAAGGCAAAGGGTGGCTATTTGAAGAATCTCAAATATAAAATATTTTGATTAGTTTAAGACTTTTTTTTGGTTACTACATGATTCCATATGTGTTATTTCATCGTTTTGATTTCTTCACTATTATTCTACAATGTAAAAATAAAAACCCTTGAATGAGTAGGTGTGTCTAAACTTTTGACTGGTAGCGTATGTGGACAACTTTCCGTTCCAAAACATTAGTGATCTGTAAGTCCTTTTTAATTAATCTCTTCTGATTAGTGGACTCCCTTCACTGTGATAGGTCAAGTCCAGAGCAAGCAGTGCATTGAAGATGTGATCCGATTTGTTGCTGAGGAGCACCTTTTCCTGATGGCTGATGAGGTAATTTAGTAATAATACAATCTCTTCTTCCTGATTTGACCCTTTCTCCCCCTTCTCTAAGGTGTTTCTTCTAGACTAGTTACTCAATATGTATGACTCCCTCCCTCTGTGCCTGCTAGGTTTACCAGGATAATGTGTACGCGGAGGGTTGCCAGTTCCACTCCTTTAAGAAGGTTCTGTTTGAGATGGGATCAGAGTACTCCAGTGTTGTAGAGCTGGCCTCCTTCCATTCCACCTCCAAATGCTACATGGGAGAGTAAGTCTGTAGCTACACACCCACACATTCTCACAGATGGTGACTGACTGCACTACTTGGCTCTTTTAGAAAAAACTAACTTTTGATACCATATTGATGTGTGTGTGTGTCCCTGACTGTCCTGCAGGTGTGGTTTCAGGGGAGGGTACATGGAGGTGATTAACATGGACCCTGAGGTGAAGTTGCAGCTGACAAAGCTGGTGTCTGTGCGGCTGTGCCCCCCCATCCCTGGGCAGGCCCTGCTGGACCTGGTAGTCAACCCCCCTCAGGCTGACGAGCCTTCCTATGCCACATTCATCAAGGTCAGCATACACATGAAGTGGATGTCCAGTTATGATTCAGCCCTAAATGTCGAATAAAGCTTATTACAGCATAACAAGTACTGTTCAGTTTTTTATTTGTGTATATACTTTGTGTCACACCTTGTTGGTATTATCCTGACCTCTTTACAGGAGCGTACTGCCAACCTGCATATCCTGTCTGAGAAGGCCAAGATGACAGAGCAGGTCCTTAACACGGTCCCAGGGATCCACTGTAACCCTGTCCAGGGAGCCATGTACACCTTCCCCCGCCTCACACTGCCAGAGAAAGCCATCAACGCAGCCAAGGTCTCTTTCCCTCGCTCCCCATTTCTCTCTCCAATGTTATTCAGCCCATATGCTCACTCCACCCTCTCTGTCGCTGTGTGTGTAGGAAAAGGAACAGGCTCCAGACATGTTCTACTGTATGAAACTGCTGGAGGAGACAGGCATCTGTCTGGTCCCAGGGAGTGGCTTCGGACAGAGGGATGGAACCTACCACTTCAGGTTAGACCTGTTCACTGCTACTGTACACTGTCAACGCCAGTGTTTAGTGACGGTTAAGGTTAGATAATAACACTGCCTCTTTCTTTCTGTAGGATGACCATCTTGCCTGCAACTGAAAAGCTGAAGAATGTATTGGAAAAGATCAGGGAGTTTCATAAGCGGTTCACAGAGGAGTTCTCATAACCCCAAACTCCTCCCCCCTCCTCTACCTAGTCCAGTCTGTCACAGAAACCCACCCCTCCTCCTCAGCAACTGGATTGAATATCCAACAGAAAGGGTGCCAGTGAGTTACCAAGTGCCTTTGTGTGGCTGGAACGGTCACCACACCACACCCCCTGTTCGACTCTCTCCCCTCTAATGCCCTAGAGTTGACATTACAAGGAAAGCACTGTTAAAAAAACGGCACTATTTAACATGGTACCTGGTCTGCTGTTCTGTTTTAGCTCATTGTTTTTAATTGTGTGTCAGACAGCATCTGCACAGTGGCTGGTGGCACCTTAATTGGGGAGGACAGGCTCATAGTAATGGCTGGAATGGAATAAATGGAATGGCATGTGTTTGATACACTCCATTCCAGCCATTACTATGAGCTGTTCTCCCCTCACCAGTTTCCTGTGCAGTGTGTGTGTGTGTATATATGTGATGATGGACCTTTTTAGTCTTCAGTTCATGACTGTAACTTAATTTTTTCAGTTGAGAGTTTACTTGTCCTGCCAAGTATTTTACAGGTCATACAGCAACACTATGGTCCAAACTAGTCCTAATATCAGTAAATGAGGTGTGCTTCTATTGCACAACAGGGGAGTGCAATGGATATTGTGTTAAAAAGGGTGCTGGGTTGAAAAAGGGTACTGTGCGCTACTGTGTGTCCAATGAACAGTCTGACTGTAGCTACAGTATTTTTTATAACTAATGTTGATTTTATCTAGAATTGTATAAATAAAATAAATGTGTCTTTGTCATGTATTTGTGTACTTCATCAGTATGGGAAGTTGAAAGACACAGATTGCCAACTGAGTTTACTTCTACAAAGAAAGAGAGACCTTTCCTACCACATTCTCTGGCAATGTTTATGTCTGACTATAGGAGTTGAAAAGACGGCACAAACAGATCTGGCTATACTACATACATAATATTTTGTAAATGTGTCAAGAAACCATGAATTAATTAATGAATGCGTGATGATTGGGTTACAAGGTATGTCAAACTGTCCACCAGGAGGAGACACCGTCACGTCTTGAACGAACGGATCTACTTCCAAATGATTGGCATACTGAGACGCCAATAGAACTTTAGACAGTCGCTATTGTTACCAACCCAAATGCAGATGTACTGTTGGTAGGCGGCACAGAACAGGAAATAGTGACAATGAATGATGCAGCTTCAGCTCCACAGTGCAAACATTTGTAAATTATCAATATTCAGGTATATATATATATATATGTGTATTAACATGCACTATTAGATGAGTTTCAAACCGGACGCTTGTTTTACTGGACTTCTGAAGTTTAATCCCAGCAAATAATATCGTTTTGACGGTAAGTAGCTAGCTAGGCTAACTGTTAGCCAGCTACTAACGTAACGTTAGCTCGTGATGAACGCCTAGATATCCTATCAAATAATTGTTTCTTCAATATCTAGTAGCTATAGACTTTCCCAGCTCTATTTTAATAAAGGGATAGTAACTACTATTGGCCATAATAACTAGCTACGTAGGCAGGCCTTTCGACTATAGATGTTTGCTAACCAGTTGGCTACCAACCATTTCAGCTAGCTAGCTAGAGCTGTTCAACACCTATTTATCACCATCTCAACTTTCATGACTTCTACCATCAAAATGCTCAAATACAGCCAACAAGTGTTTTTTCCCTGCTATGTAGCTATTCCATGTCACTGTAACAACGTATTCATCAGTCAATGCAGTTTGCTGCATTTTCTCTGATCTGTGCACCCTTTTCTGTCCACAGCAATGGGGGAGGTTGAGCTGTCCTGTCTGGCCTATGTGAAGATGTACCTGCATGGCTGTCTGTTTCCACGGTGCAGTGTCAATGGGCTGCTGTTGTCGTCCAGCCCAGCAGGTGGTGCTGTGTGTGTGACAGACTGCGTGCCCCTGCTCCACTCTCACCTACCTTTGGCTCCCATCACCCAGCTGGCTCTCACACAGGTAACCATTTAATAACCTGAGTGGTCTTTACTGTCAAACATATGTCTGAAATGACCAAATACATTTAGCTTAACCACTCATCCTTACCTGGCAGTGGTGCATGTACATTGTGGTTCAGTCTTTTGACTTTTCATGTATTTGTTATGCTGTAATGTATCATACCTTATTTGCTTCAGGTGGATGTATGGTGTGCACAGACACAGCAGAGGATTGTAGGATACTACCAAGCCAACGCCTGTGTGTCAGACAGCAGGTGTGGTCCAGCATCACTATCGACTCTGTAGATGTTAATTTCTCTTATCACGTAGTTTCAGTGGCCTGTTAGCCTGCTTATCATGTGCATATCACCTGTGTGTTAAACTAACCACTATCACATGTGTTAAACATGAACCATTCCTTCTCTTTCCCCTTCGCTGGGCAGCCCTACGCCATGTGCATTGAAGATTGCAGACAAGATTGCCGAGCAGTGTAACAATGCAGTTTTGTTAATGGTAAGCATCCACTGGGGTTTTATTGTCTAAATTCCTGTGTGTGTGTACATGGTCACAATGCAGATTTTCGGTATGTCTTTATGCTGTGTGCCATCTACTTCTCTCTTATGATCTATGTGGCTTTTCAGATTGATGGTGGAAAGATGTCTCCTGACTACAGGGTGCCTCCCATAGTGATGTATGAGCGGAAAGACACCCGCTGGACCCTCAAAGACAAACACACGTAAGAGCTGGACATCTCTGCTATCCTTCTTTCAAGATACTGTAGTTAACTACCGTTTGCTTTTCTGTTGATAACACACCTGTTATCAAATGCATTCACACAGTAACTGTGGCAACTGCATATGACTACATACAGTCAGGTCCAAAGATATTTTGACATTGACCAAGTTATTATTATTTTAGCTGTCTACCACAGCATATTGGAGTTGAAATTAAATAATGAATATGAACTGAAAGTGCAGACTTTCAGCTTTAATTTGAGGGTATTTACATCCAAATCAGGTGAACGGTGTAGGAATTGCAGCACTTGTTATGTGGTCCCCCTCTTTTTAAAAGACCAAAAGTAATTGGACATTTGGCTGCTCGGCTGTTCCATGGCCAGGTGTGTGTTATTCCCTCATTAGTTCATTTACAAGTAAGCAGATAAGGTCTAGAGTTGATTTAAAGTGTGGCATTTGCATTTGGAATGTGTTGCTGTTAACCCTCAATTTGTCCAAAGAGCTGTCACTGCCAGTGAAGCAAGCCATCATTAGGCTGAAAAATCTAAACAAGCCCATCAGAGAGATAGCAAAAACATTAGGTGTGGCCAAATCAACTATTTGGTACATTCTTAAAAAGAAAGAACACACTGGTGAGATCAGGAACACCAAAAGGCCCGGAAGACCATGTAAAACAACTGTGGTGGATGACAGAATAATTACTTCCCTGGTGAAGAAAAACCCCTTCACAACAGTTGGCCAGATCAAGAACACCCTCCAGGAGGTAGGCGTATCTGTGTCAGTCAACAATCAAGAGAAGACTTCACCAGAGTAAATACAGAGGGTTTACCACAAGATGTAAACCATTGGTAAGCCTCAAAAACAGGAAGACCAGATTAGAGTTTGCCAAAAAACATCTACAAAACCTGTAGAGTTCTGGAACAACATCCTATGGACAGATGAATCAAAGATAATCTTGTACCAGAATGATGGGAAGAGAAGAGTATGGAGAAGGGAAGGAACTGCTCATGATCCGAAGCATACCACCTCATCTGTGAAGCATGGTGGAGGTAGTGTAATGGCGTGGGCATGTATGGCTGCCAATGGAACAGGTTCCCTTGTATTTATTGATGATGTGACTACTGACAAAAGCAGCAGGATGAATTCTGAAGTGTTTAGGGCTATATTATCTGCTCAGATTCAGCCAAATGCTTCAAAACTCATTGGATGGCGCTTCACAGTGCAGATGGACAATGACCCGAAGAATACTGCGAAAGCAACCCAATACTTTAAGGCAAAGAAGTGGAATGTTCTGCAATGGCCAAGTCAATCACCTGACCTGAATCCAATTGAGCATGCGTTTCACTTGCTGAAGGCAAAACTGAAGGTAAAATGCCCCAAGAACAAGCAGGAACTGAAGACCGCTGCAGTAAAGGCCTGGCAGAGCATCACCGGGGAAGAAACCCAGCATCTGGTGATGTCTATGGGTTCCGGAGCTCAGGCAGTCATTGACTGCAAAGGATTTGCAACCAAGTATTAAAACTCACAATTTAATTTATGATTGTTAGTTTGTCCAATTACTTTTGAGCCCCTAAAATTGGGGGGGGGGGTTGTATGTATAAAAATGGTTGTAATTCCTACACGGTTCATACAATAATTTTGACAAAACCCTTAAATTAAAGATGAAAGTCTACAGTTAAAAGCACATCTTGATTGTTTCCTTTCAAATCCATTGTGGTGGCATACAGAGCCAAAATGATGCAAATTGTGTCACTGTCCAAATACTTATGGACCTGACTGTACATTGTATCTGAGTGAGCATGGAACTAAATTCCAATAGTGTCAGTAGCAAGGTTTCCATCCAACTGGCAACAGATTTATACAAATATTCTAAAATCTGCATGAAAAAATTCAAATTTTCCCACCAGAGATGTTTCCATCAAATTGACTTGTTGCAGATAAGTCTGTGTGTGATGACCTAGTTCACATAAAATTAACTATTGCTGTTAAATTCCCATGTACCAAATAAAAAGTACAAGTTAAATGGGTTTCATCGCATTTCCAGCTCTTCTGATGGTTTTGTCACAAAATGTTGCGTTATATAGCGTATGTGCCCACTCTGGTCTTGGCACGTGCACCCTAGCCAACAGCTTGCAGATAGTGCGGGTATAGCCTACATTAGATTATTAAGGACAAAAGAACGAGATTCTCTTTGTCAAACGGCTGCCAAGCATCCATCATTATGTCACCAGAATAAGACTCCGAATATTTATTGGAAAGGAGCGTAAAGCTCATCACCGTGCACTTTCACCACCCTATGAAGTATATCATAACTTATTTCATCTGTAGCCTAATAAATTGCATGCTTTCCCAAGTCGTAGTGGGAGGACCACGCAACATCATCGCGTGACTCCAAGTTTACTTCGATATGGTTATATCAATATTTGTGCATAAAAGCGTTTCCACCGCCATTTATCACAATTTTAGACAAAAAGATCCCACCTTGTTTAGCGTATTTTGTTTTGTCGACACTTGGAAAGTGTATCGCCAAATGTGCTTTTTTCATCAGTCATGTACTTTACTTGCATAAAAAGGTTGGATGGAAACCTGGTTAGTGTCAGTACCTGAAGAGGAAGTACAGATTCATTAAAGCTACCTTTGTTTTTCTTCCAGGATAATGCTGCGGCAGTGGGAGGAGACTCGGGAAATAGCCAGCCAGCTGCTGGATGCTGGAGATCACTCGTTATTGGTGGATTTTGACAGCCATTTGGATGACATCACTAGGGACTGGACAAATCAGAAACTCAATGCCAAAATAGCAGAGCTTGCCTCACCAGCCAATGGTAATGTCTGAAATAAACTTGCGGATTAATTTGTTGCATCGTTACATTTCAAAAGTTAGAATTATATGTCTTAAACCTACTGATACTACAAATATTTTAAGAATCTTCTTTTTATTAACATCTAACAGCCAAATAAGCACATCATCATGATCATTTAGAAATATGAAATACATTTAATGCGGTCAGACAGAACACATTGAATAAAAGACAGGCATAAATAACAGAAATAATTAGTTTGACAGATCTGTGCAGTCTTCCGGTCTGTCCGGAGTGTGCCTTGTCAAGCCCAGCAGCAATGTTGTTAACCCACTTAAAACCACTGACAGAGATATGCTCATAGTTAACTGGCATCACAACATTATGTGCATCCTGTCCCACTGCTTTCAGTGGGTAACCTTTTATCAATTTATTAAACTACATCTACAAACTATAAAAAGTGTTCATGTGCTATTTTTCTTCTTCAAATAAACATCAGTTCACATTAATTTCTACAATACTAACAGATTAAAACGTCTGACAAGCCAGCCATCACCTTGTGCACTTAAAGGCTTAAGTAGACAATAGAAATTCAGAAAACTATACTTAATTTGTGCAATGGAGCAAGATAGAACAACAGATTGCCAGTTCAAAGGTGCGGAAAACAACCTTTCAGACATGGGTCCCTAGAACAATCTCCACACACCATAACGCTAGAACAGGGTTGCCCAACCCTGTTCCGGGAGAGCTACCCTCCTGTAGGTTTTCACTCCAACCCCAGGTGTTATTAACCTGATTCATCTTATCAACCTGCTAATTATTAGAATCAGGTATGCTAGATTAGGGTTGGAGCAAAAACCTACAGGATGGTAGCTCTCCAGGAACAGGGTTGGGCAGTCCTGCCCTAGAACAATATCCACACACCATAACCCTAGAACAATCTCCACAAACCATAACCCTAGAACAATCTCCACAAACCATAACCCGAACACAATCTCAACACACCTGCTTTATACTGTGGCTTGTGTAATTTACTAATTGGGTACACCTGTAAAGTGACCTGCCATGCAAAACTGAGCCAATCTCAATTAACACAATTGACCAAACAATTAACTGCTTAACGTTGGGACTAATAGTAAGCGCTGAGTTATGGAGAGAAGATTAACAAATACAAAACATAAACACACTTGCTCTTGAATACATACTTGCAAACACATTTAAAAGAGTCCAATGTCTCTAGTGAAGGAGCCTCTCCTTCAAAGTCTTAATATTATTGTTCTCTATAGAAATGTGCTTAACAAGCGTTACCACTTTCAGAAACAAAAACTACAGACAAGTTGGTTTCCTGCCTCTTAACGGTTGGCATGGTGATGATCAAATCACTGACCTTCAGCCTACTATGGCTTACGAGCCTGTCAGTGTTTCTCTCATATACTACTTAAAACAACTGTCAACAGTTACACTATCACAGACTATGTAAGCAACATGAGGACACAGAGAGGTATCTGAAGCAGTACCAGTCAGCATTCAAAGACTGCAACAAGGAGTAGAAGTATCTGACTCCATATAAAAGTGAATTTGAAACCATTTGGAACATCAGTATAACATCACAAGTTGGTAAAGGGCAATCCTGAGGGCTAAACCAAAGTGATGTCTTCCACTCCATGTAGTGCTATTCAGACAAGTATGTCATGCATCATGTGTATGACTTAGTATCAGATCAGAGTGCTTAATTAAAAAAACGACTGGTCAATTATACAAGATGTCCTGTGATTGGATGCTAAAGGAAGGCTAAGGCACTTTTACCAGGTTCCGTGCTATCCGGGACCCTTGGGACATCCCTACCCCATTGAAGTTGACATTTGTATATGGTTAAGGTTAGGGTTTAAGGTAGGGACGTCCCAAGGAGCTCGGATAGCAATGACCCTGGTACCAGGTTGATGGTGACATCTCCTGATTCGCTGGTTATGTTGCGGAGATAGGTCATTGACTCCTGGAAGTCTTCAGCTTCCATGACCTGCTGCTGAGCCCAGGGTAGGGTTATCTGGAGGAGAGGGGGTGGGTGGTTCAGTCCCGCTTTATTTCACAGTGAAAGATAATGTGTAGCTGAAGTGTTAACAGATTCTGCGATATACATTTTAAAAGGTAATTTCAGATTGAGCCGACGAATGTACAATGCAGTCTCCGCTAAAGAGGGAACATTGCCTTTAAATTTCAATCACGCTGTAAAGCTGAATTTCTGCGATGCGGAGCCCCTAGTATTTACATTCTAAGGTACAGTGGCTTGCGAAAGTATTCACCCCCCTTGGCATTTTTCCTATTTTGTTGCCTTACAACCTGGAATTAAAATGGATTTTTTGGGGGTTTATATAATCTGATTTACACAACATGCCTACCACTTTGAAGATGCAAAATATTTTTTCTTGTGAAACAAACAAGAAATAAGACCAAAAAACAGAACTTGAGCTTGCATAACTATCCCCCCCCCCCCGCAGCAATTACAGCTGCAAGTCTCTTGGGGTATGTCTATAAGCTTGGCACATCTAGCCACTGGGATTTTTGCCCATTCTTCAAGGCAAAACTGCTCCAGCTTCTTCAAGTTGGATGGGTTCCGCTGGTGTACAGCAATCTTTAAGTCATACCACAGATTCTCAATTGGATTGAGGTCTGGGCTTTGACTAGGCCTTTCCAAGATGTTTCCCCTTAAACCACTCAAGTGTTGCTTTAGCAGTATGCTTAGGGTCATTGTCCTGCTGGAAGGTGAACCTCCGTCCCAGTCTCAAATCTCTGGAAGACTAAAACAGGTTTCCCTCAAGAATTTCCCTGTATTTAGCGCCATCCATCATTCCTTCAGTTCTGACCAGTTTCCCAGTCCCTGCCGATGTAAAACATCCCAATAGCATGATGCTGCCACCACCATGCTTCACTGTGGGGATGGTGTTCTCGAGGTGATGAGAGGTGTTGGGTTTGCGCCAGACATTTTCCTTGATGGCCAAAAAGCTCAATTTTAGTCTCCATATGTTTGGGGAGTCTCCCACATGCCTTTTGGCGAACACCAAACGTGTTTGCTTATTTTTTCTTTAAGCAATGGCTTTTTTCTGGCCACTCTTCCGTAAAGCCCAGCTCTGTGGAGTGTACGGCTTAAAGTGGTCCTATGGACAGATACTCCAATCTCAGCTGTGGACCTTTGCAGCTCCTTCAGGGTTATCTTTGGTCTCTTTGTTGCCTCGCTAATTAATGCCCTCCTTACCTGGTCCATGAGTTTTGGTGGGCGGCCCTCTCTTGGCAGGTTTGTTGTGGTGCCATATTCTTTCAATTTTTTTATAATGGATTTAATGGTGCTCCGTGGGATGTTCAAAGTTTATGATATTTTTTTTATAACCCAACCCTGATCTGTACTTCTCCACAACTTTGTCCCTGACCTGTTTGGAGAGCTCCTTAGTCTTCATGGTTCCGCTTGCTTGGTGGTGCCCCTTACTTAGTGGTGTTGCAGACTCTGGGGCCTTTCAGAACAGGTGTATATATATACTGAGATCATGTGACACTTAGATTGCACACAGGTGGACTTTATTTAACTAATTATGTGACTTCCAAAGGTAATTGGTTGCACCAGATCTTATTTAGGGGCTTCATAGCAAAGGGGGTGAATACATATGCATGCACCACTTTTCCGTTATTTATTTTTTTGAATTTTTTTTAAACAAGTTATTTTTTTCATTTCACTTCACCAGTTTGGACTGTTGTGTATGTCCATGACATGAAATCCAAATAAAAATCAATTTAAATTACAGGTTGTAATGCAACAAAATAGGAAAAATGCCAAGGGGGATGAATACTTTTGCAAGGCACTGTATGCATTTGCTACACCTTTTGTTTCCATTTGAACAGGTTTAACAGTTCTTTATGAGTAGGTGGGGAACGGCTTGGTCAGCTGTACCTGTATGATGATGAGTTTGCTGGATGGGTCCTCTGTATCACTGAAATACAAGGTGAAGCCACACTGAGGAGGGTCTCCCCCGTATCTGCGGAAGTGGTCCAGCTCTAAGGAACCACACAGAGTCAGTAAATACACACTGACTGCTGAAATACTCAAATCCAAATCCATTAGGGGACAAAAAATAAGTGGGTGATCCTCACCAACAGACCGAGAGCGTGAACAGCCCCATGCCACTCACCCATTCTGAAAGCCTCTCTATCGAAGAGCCGCACGGGCTCCACAGCATGGTTCATCTTGTGGGGTCCCGCCGTGGCTGAATGTGGCCCTGTCCAGAACACCTGGCCCTGGCAGTAGTGCTTAGCATAGACCCCTATCCCCGTGGTGGTCAGGATCACCCCTTTCTCCAAGAAGGGCAGCAGGGTGGAGAGGGCCTGGAACTGGGGCCCGATGCCAGGGCTGGAGGTCAGGGTGGAGGGGGGGTCGGGCAGGGGGATGCGGGGGAACCCAGACACCATCGGGGTGGGGGGAACGGGCGAGGAGGGCAGATAGGCGATCCGGACATCGCTGCCCATGACCCCACGTTTAAGCACCTCCTCTCCCATGTACTTCACTAAGACATGGAAAGAGTCCTGGGCTGGGGGGAGAGAGAATGATATTGAATGAGAGACAGCAGACTGCATTTTCACAGTGTATGTGATGAAAAACAGATCTGATATACTCTGTCTAGCATTTACTGCATCATGCATCATCAGTAGCATTACCTCCAGGGGGAGGGACGGTCTCGATCGTGAAGTTCACCTGGATCTCATTGACTGCTAGAGGAAGACAACAGAATGTCAAGAGCATGTCAATCAACCACATGCTATTCAAATCAAATCAAATCAAATTGTATTGGCCACATGCGCCGAATACAACAGGTGCAGACATTACAGTGAAATGCTTACTTACAGCCCTTAACCAACAGTGCATTTATTTTTAACAAAAAAGTAAAAATTAAACAACAACAAAAAAAGTGTTGAGAAAAAAAGAGCAGAAGTAAAATAAAATAACAGTAGGGAGGCTATATATACAGGGGGGTGCCGGTGCAGAGTCAATGTGCGGGGGCACTGGGTAGTTGAAGTAATATGTACATGTGGGCAGAGTTAAAGTGACTATGCATAAATAATTAACAGAGTAGCAGCAGCGTAAAAGGATGGGGTGGGGGGGCAGTGCAAATAGTCTGGGTAGCCATGATTAGCTGTTCAGGAGTCTTATGGCTTGGGGGTAGAAGCTGTTGAGAAGTCTTTTGGACCTAGACTTGGCACTCCGGTACCGCTTGCCGTGCGGTAGCAGAGAGAACAGTCTATGACTAGGGTGGCTGGAGTCTTTGACAATTTTGAGGGCTTTCCTCTGACACCGCCTGGTATAGAGGTCCTGGATGGCAGGAAGCTTGGCCCCAGTGATGTACTGGGCCGTACGCACTACCCTCTGTAGTGCCTTGCGGTCGGAGGCCAAGCAGTTGCCATACCAGGCGGTGATGCAACCAGTCAGGATGCTCTCGATGGTGCAGCTGTATAATTTTTTGAGGATCTGAGGACCCATGCCAAATCTTTTCAGTCTCCTGAGGGGGAATAGGCTTTGTCGTGCCCTCTTCACGACTGTCTTGGTGTGTTTGGACCATGATAGTTCGTTGGTGATGTGGACACCAAGGAACTTGAAGCTCTCAACCTGTTCCACTACAGCCCCGTCGATGAGAATGGGGGCGTGCTCAGTCCTCTTTTTTTTCCTGTAGTCCACAATCATTTCCTTTGTCTTGGTCACGTTGAGGGAGAGGTTGTTGTCCTGGCACCACACGGCCAGGTCTCTGACCTCCTCCCTATAGGCTGTCTCATCGTTGTCGGTGATCAGGCCTACCACTGTTGTGTCGTCGGCAAACTTAATGATGGTGTTGGAGTCGTGCCTGGCCATGCAGTCATGGGTGAACAGGGAGTACAGGAGGGGACTGAGCACGCACCCCTGAGGGGCCCCCGTGTTGAGGATCAGTGTGGCAGATGTGTTGTTACCTACCCTTACCACTTGGGGGCGGCCTGTCAGGAAGTCCAGGATCCAGTTGCAGAGGGAGGTGTTTAGTCCCAGGATCCTTAGCTTAGTGATGAGCTTTGAGGGCACTATGGTGTTGAATGCTGAGCTGTAGTCAAAGAATAGCATTCTCACGTAGGTGTTCCTCTTGTCCAGGTGGGAAAGGGCAGTGTGGAGTGCAATAGAGATTGCATCATCTGTGGATCTGTTGGGGCGGTATGCAAATTGGAGTGGGTCTAGGGTTTCTGGGATAATGCTGTTGATGTGAGCCATGACCAGCCTTTCGAAGCACTTCATGGCTACAGACGTCAGTGCTACGGGTCGGTAGTCATTTAGGCAGGTTATCTTAGAGTCCTTGGGCACGGGGACTATGGTGGTCTGCTTGAAACGTGTTGGTATTACAGACTCAGTCAGGGACATGTTGAAAATGTCAGTGAAGACACTTGCCAGTTGGTCAGCACATGCTCGGAGTACACGTCCTGTTAATCCGTCTGGCCCTGCGGCCTTGTGAATGTTGACCTGCTTAAAAGTCTTACTCACATCGGCTACGGAGAGCGTGATCACATAGTCATCCGGAACAGCTAGTGCTCTCATGCATGCTTCAGTGTTGCTTGCCTCGAAGCGAGCATAGAAGTGGTTTAGCTCGTCTGGAAGTCTTGTGTCACTGGGCAGCTCGCGGCTGTGCTTCCCTTTGTAGTCTGTAATAGTTTTCAAGCCCTGCCACATCCGACGAGCGTCAGAGCCAGTGTAGTACGATTCAATCTTAGTCCTGTATTGACTATTTGCCTGTTTGATGGTTCGTCGGAGGGCATAGCGGGATTTCTTATAAGCGTCCGGGTTAGAGTCCCGCTCCTTGAAAGCGGCAGCTCTACCCTTTAGCTCAGTGCGGATGTTTCCTGTAATCCATGGCTTCTGGTTGGGGTATGTACGTACGGTCACTGTGGGGACGACATCATCGATGCACTTATTGATGAAGCCAGTGACTGATGTGGTGTACTCCTCAATGCTATCTGAAGAATCCCGGAACATGTTCCAGTCTGTGCTAGCAAAACAGTCCTGTAGCTTAGCATCTGTGTCATCTGACCACTTTTTTATTAACCGAGTCACTGGTGCTTCCTGCTTTAGTTTTTGCTTATAAGCAGGAATCAGGAGGATAGAGTTATGGTCAGATTTGCCAAATGGAGGGCGAGGGAGAGCTTTGTATGCGTCTCTGTGTGTGGAGTAAAGGTGGTCTAGAGTTTTTTTTCCTCTGGTTGCACATTTAACATGCTGGTAGAAATTAGGTAGAACGGATTTAAGTTTCCCTGCATTAAAGTCCCCGGCCACTAGGAGCGCTGCATCTGGATGAGCGTTTTCCTGCTGATTTATGGCCTTATACAGCTCATTCAATGCAATCTTAATGCCAGCATTGGTTTGTGGTGGTAAATAGACAGCTATGAAAAATATAGATGAAAACTCTCTTGGTAAATAGTGTGGTCTACAGCTTATCATAAGATACTCTACCTCAGGCGAGCAAAACCTCGAGACTTCCTTAGTATTTGATTTTGTGCACCAGCTGTTGTTTACAAATATACACAGACCGCCACCCCTTGTCTTACCGGAGTCAGCCGTTCTATCCTGCCGATGTAGCGTATAGCCCGCTAGCTGTATGTTATCCATGTCGTCGTTCAGCCACGACTCGGTGAAACATAAGATATTACAGTTTCTAATGTCCCGTTGGTAGGAGAACCGTAATCTTAGGTCATCCAATTTGTTCTCCAATGATTGAAGATTGGCTATTGGAACTCCCCAGAGTGAAGAGACAGAGTAGCTGAGAGATCCAACACCAATGAACATAGAGATTCAGTGTCTGACAGACATTTGGAGGACAGACATGACATTGTGTTAGTAAGACATAAGACTTACTCCGAGGACTCTTCAGGATGTCTGAGGGCTGATCAACCTGGTCTAGCTGCACTGTAAGAACACTTTCCTCAATCTCCTGAACAGACCGATAAATAAAAACATCAAACATGTCGGTGAGACAGACCGACATGAATAATAGAGATGCAACTTGTTTCCACTGGATTGTTATTTTCTCCTCAAAATGCCAGACCTACCATGGTGAATGGCAGGGAGGTGGTGACTTCTTTCATCTGTTTGACCTTCACCACCTCCTCTTCCTCCTCCTCCTCCTCGATGTCTGAATCACAGCTCCTTCTCTTCCTCCCCCCTGCTCGGGCCTTTATGTCAACACTCCCCAACGCTGTGAAGAGAAAAGGGACCAAATCAAATGTTATTTGTCATGTGCCGAAAACAACAGTGAAATGCTTACTTACAAGCCCTTAACCAACAATGCAGTTTTAAGAAAAATAAGTTTTAAGTAAAACATAGATACGTTTTAAAAAATAACAAAAAAAAATAACAAATAACTTAAGAGCAGCAGTAAAAGAACAGTATGGAGGCTATATACAGGGGTACCGGTACAGAGTTAATGTACGGGGGCACCGGTTAGTCGAGGTAATTGAATTTGTTTACTGCACTTGAACCTGCTTTGAAGTTGTCTCCATAGCTACGAACTATATGGAGTTATTGTTGTGCTGATAACATTTGCACCGCTGACTCTGGTATGACTATGTCCCTTTGAATTGACTGAGGGAACTAGAGTAGAGTACTGCATGTGGTAATGGAGTTGACCAATATTAAAATGTCAATCTTCTCAACCTCAAGTGAAACTTCCTCAAACTTAAAGAATGCTCACGGCTACACCCTGTTTCTATTCCCAGATACTAGGTATGATGATGTGGTTATAGATGTATACACAAGTCCAAAGGATCAAAAGATAATTGCTGCAAATAATTGCTGGAACATCTTAGCAGATGAGTAGAAATAAACATAGCATAACAAACTAACAGTGTGTGTGCTTGGCTCACCTTGTTCATTGATGGGTACGAGGCGGTAGACTTTGTATGGTTCAGAGATTTCCAGCTGTGACCTCTCGGGTTCCTCTCTGAACTCCGGGCTCTTATTGAGAGCAACGCGCAGCCGGGTCTTCCAGGAGGCAGGGTCCGCACGACCCCCCTCAGACAACTTCCCCTTAAACACTGCCCATGCCTGTCAAGGAGTAGGAAGAGAAGGCATTCAGATTCAGATTCAGGAAGTAATATCTACTACTGTGTTTTTAATAGATTTTACATGACTAGCCTACTGTAAAATGAATAGTTTATGAACTAGCAATGATAAAGTTCATAGTGTCAGGACCTTGAAGATGGCACCATCCACTTCGCTGCGGAAGTCTTGTTTCCCCCCGTGTTTCCAGGGGATACGGAACATGGTCTTGGCGTCGTTGTCCCATATCAGGCCAGGGTATTTCCCACTGCTGACCTGCACCAAGACATTCAACAGGATAGAGTGGGGTGAGTCTAGGGCAACACTCAACCCATTTCCCAGACAGCCAGTACACTGACTGTACCAATCACTATGACATACCAGCTGAAACACTTAAGACACACTCACTGTAATCAGCTGTTACAGTGCACACACATTTGCACAAAAGGTACTATTGACCCCATCCTCCACAAACACTCACCTGTTCTACCATCCAAGAGCGTAGTCTGCGCGTGGAGCGAATTTTCCCAGATGCCATAGCTGTGAAGACACAGTATAACTTTATTTTAATCTAGTTTGGTAATACAATTGTTTTGTCTGCTGTTTGAAGATAGTGTACAAAACCGAAAAGTAAAAAGATACAAAAGCGAGCAGGAAGCACGTAGAACGGATCTACCGCGTATCAGACTTGCTTTCAATGAAAATGACAGATCCATAACTCACATTTCTATGTGAATTTGGTCGGGTAGCTCACATTGTTACATACTGGACCTTTAAATAATGATTATATGTGAGTAACTATTTTGCCAATGATGGTTTGACTGTAATAATACTTAGACATAATAAAGTATGAAATAATTAGCCACATGGGACCTAATCACTTTGACTGTAAATTAATGACTTCTTATTCTGCATCGGTTGGTATTAAATTATGAACAGCAGCAGCAGATCATATCAAACTATTAGTCTCCATTTAAAAATAGCAAACTAGATAATAAATCAACAAATTGCTCATAAAGTGAAACTGTTTTGCATACAACTTTTCCACAGATTTATAATGATTGTCATGAATGGAAACAGTTTTTTGGGGATGATCTGGTTTCGCTTACCTTAGGTTGCGTTTCCTAAATTTCCTCACTACAGCTGAGCGCACCCGCGCATAGCACTTTCATCAGAAAAAAACAGAAATGGTTTGCTTGCTTCCGGCAGAGCAGAGGAAGACACGCGTTTTCCCAGAAATCACGTGACTTTACAGAACTAACGTAGGTCCTGTTGTGACGCCAGCGGGCGACATATCGCTTAAAATATGGCCTATGCTCAGAAAGTAGTCTCCCTAGGCAGAGCCTCCCACAATTAACACCCAGACTGCATTCCAAACACGTAAAAGACACACCCTCTCCCCTCAGCCCTCAAATTAAGTCGTCACTTTTAATGACGTATCATGAGACGGGCATTAATGTGGGGATTCAGGTTCTCTGTAGAGAACTCAGACAGTGTTCTTGTTCTTTACCAGGAGCAGTGGTGTAAAGTACTTAAGTAGTACATTAAAGTATTTTTACTTAAGTCGTTTTTTTGAGTATCTATACTTTACTTTACTTTATATTTTGACTACTTTTACTTTTACTTCACTACATTCCTAAAGAAAATTATGTACTTTTTACTCCTTACATTTTCCCTGACACCCAAAAGTACTCGTTAAATTTGTAATGCTTAGCAGGACAAAAAATGGTAAAATCATCAATAGAACATCCCTGGTCATCCCTACTGCCTCTGATCTGGCGGACTCACTAAACACATGCTTCGTTTGTAAGTGATGTCTGAGTGTTGGAGTGTGCCTCTGGCTATCCTAAATAAATAAAAAACAAGGAAATGATGCCGTCTGGTTTGCTTAATATAAGGACTTTGAAAATATATATACTTTTACTTTTGATACTTAAGTATATTTTATCAATTACATTTACTTTTGATACTTAAGTATATTTTAAACCAAATACTTTTAGACTTTTACTCAAGTAGTATTTTACTGAGTGACTTTCACTTTTACTTGAGTCATTTTCTATTAAGGTATCTTTACTTTTACTCAAGTATGAGATATGAGTACTTTTCCCACCACTGACCAGGAGGAAGGTGGGAGATGAGGTATGCTTGAGGTTGTAGTGTATTAGGATTATGGAATGTTGTTTATCTTAGTTCAAATGTAGCAGTTGGAGGGTGACGCCCCAGGGGGGATAGGTGATTGGACGAAAAAGGGAGCAACCCATTTATTGCCATTGTTTATAAGTAGGACCTAGACAAAGAGCGGGCAGAGGCATTCAGATTAATTTGGGACGGTGCTTCTCCAGACACCGCGGGTCTGTAACTTATGCTGTAAACTTGTGATATTAATAAAAGCTTCTAATCACGGTGCAGCCTAAGCGGACTCTTTGATTGACAGCAATAGCCACCAACACCCGACGGGACACGACAAGGTTTAATGGGGGAAACATGGAGAGGGTGGGAGCCTTCAGGTTTCTTGGGGTATACTTTGACACTAGACTGACCTGGGCAGAACACATTGAGAGAGTATTGGGAAAGTGTGCTTTCTGACGGAGAAGGAGTGGGGGGCTGGGGGTTCCTCATTGAGAACCATGTATTGATCCGATCTGTAATAGACTATGGCAGTATAGCGTATGGTTCAGCAGCCCGGACCTCATTAGAAAGGCTAGATGTCAAACAGGGGCAAGGACTCAGAATATGTAGTGGGGCGTTGCGGACCTCCCCAGTGGCTGCACTACAGATGGAGGATATGCAGATTATAATTATTGTTTACAATGACGGCCTACCCCGGCCAAACCTGGACAACACTGGGCCAATTGTGCGCTGCCATATGGGACTCCCAATCATGGACCGCCCTTGCCCGGAAATTCGTCACTTGTTCGTGTTTTCAGTCATCATGGAACCACCGGTAGCTGTTGTGTGTGCTTTATATGCTCTACAGTCAATTATGATTGCATTTCATATCTTGGCTAGAAGACAACGCATCTGCAGACATCGAATACCAGCCATCCGACGATATCAGATTGTAGTGTATGGAGATTATGACTTTGCTAATGTTTTCAAGTGGAACCTGAGAGGATGTTTATTCAGTTTCAGAGGGAGTTGTTTTAGAGTGACACCCCATAGAACAGAGGGCGTCTGTGTGTTGTAGACAGGGGATTGGACAGTAGAGGGAGCCACCCATATTTTGGGAAAGATTATAAGTATGGGCTAGCAACAAAGAAGATTAGAGCAGACATATTCTTTTGGGACTCTGTTCTCCGGGTGATCATGACATCTGTAAACTTATGCTGAAATCTTGTGATATGAATAAAACTTATGATCAAAGTTCAGTATAAGCGGACTCCTTTGTTTAACAGCATAATTAGCAACATTGACTCGACACTACAAGATAAATTGAAAATTATTATGTATAAGTGTGATGTGGCCCCCGTGTAGCTCAGTTGGTAGAGCATGGTGCTTTCAACGCCAGGGTTGTGGGTTCGATTCCCACAGGGGGCCAGTATGAAAAAAAAAGAAGAAAATTGTTTTATGCACTCACTAACTGTAAGTCGCTCTGGATAAGAGTGTCTGCTAAAATGACTAAAATTTTAAATGATGTCAGGGAAAGTTGTATGCGCTAGCTAACACTTCCAAAAGCTAACCAAACAAAAACATCACTACTTTTACAAGACGTGTTTGTGCCGTCATGTGCATTAGTAGGACAATTTCGAATGTATTTATATTTGTTTTTACTTACACCTGTATGTTCACTTCTCCATATTGATGTTGGTTTTAAGTTTAGGCTGAATTTTCTTAGCTGATGAACAATCATCGCAAATTGAATTATGGGGCGTTTCAGGCCCCTGAGTGAACAGGATTGCACACTCGATCACAAACAAGGGCTGTCAACTTCCCTTGCTTGGCTAATTGTTTGGACCGATGGCAAAGATGGCCGCGGGGATTCCCCCAAGTGTTAGGCGAGGGTAAGTGGAAGAGGGTGTGTCTTGTACGTGTTTGGAACGCAGCCCCAGAGACCGCAATTGAGAGTATAAAAATGAGACCTGTGATAAAAGTAATTTTCAAAACAATAAAATACTTTATTGCTTGAGTAGCCTATTTACTACATGGTATACCCTGCAATTACACTTTGTATAATCTCACAATATTGACTGTCATTTTTAAGATGATAGACACCTTCCGTTATTTCTTAAGTTGTTTAGTGAAGTATTTAAAAAATATTTTATATCTTTAATAAAAAATAAACAAGAAAGACAGTTGTTGATTGACCTGTCTTGTATGTATGTCTTTGCAGCTGTATCCTCACAGAGAGGAAATGTAGATACTATTAACTGTAGATGTCAGAAATCGAATGAAGCATATAAGGAACAAAACATGTTAAACTTCAATGAGATGTAATATAACAGCTTGTTTGGTATTGCTATGTGGTGGGAGGTTTGAAACCTGACTTCTTCACTTGATGCTGTTTGCAAATAGAATAGCTGTACATTCCTTAAAATGGTTGATAAAATATTTAAAATAAATCTTCATCTCATCCGAGGAACCTTTTCTCCAAGTGGAACTTCCATCAGTTTCTGTAAAGAAAGAGTAATATACACTTTCACACAATCTGAACCACAACAAAAACACTACATCAAAATTAACATTGAAACTATTTAGTGCAAACTTCCAGTCAGGCCACAAGCCTAACTGTGATGGATGACAGACCTTCAGCAGTCGATCCTGGTACACCCTGTCATCCTCCCCCTCCCCTTGTTGCTCCTCCACCTGGTACCTCTTGCAGGCAACTGTCACCTCTTGTTGTTCGTAGAGAAGAGCGGGGTCCAGGGTGTGTCCGTTAATGAGACTAACCAGGTACTCTCTGTAGTGTTTACTGCAATGGCCACACACAGAGACAGACATATTGAGAACAATGGCCACAAACGGAGACAAAGCGAGAACAGCCTATCAGCCAGCAAAGGTTGTTTAAAAGTGAATATCATTAACTTTTCATGGCATGTCTTCAATACAATTAAACCCACATGATATGTGTGTGTGTGTGTGTATGTGTGGTAGTGCACATTTATAACAAACAATTAGGTATTGTGTGTGTGTGTGACTCACTCGCAGAGTCCAGCGTGTCCTGGCTGAGTTTGGACTCCACAGGGTGAGTCGATCTGCTGACCCCCGTCATCCTTCTGCTCCATCACTCCACATGCGTCTGAGTCACACAGAAAGATCAAATGAAAGTATGGGCAGAAAGATAAAAAAAAATAGTCAAGTTCTCACATACAGCGCATTTGGAAAGTATTCAGACCCCTTGACTTTTTCCAAATTTTGTTACGTTACAGCCTTATTCTAAAATGGATGACATTTGTTTTTTTCCTCATTAATCTACACATAATACCCCATAATGACAAAGTGAAAACAGGTTTTTAGAATTTTTTGCACATTTATTAAAAATAATAAACAGAAATACCTTATCTACATAAGTATTCAGACCCTTTGCTATTTACATTTACATTTACATTTTAGTCATTTAGCAAACGCTAAATTACCTATGAGACTCGAAATTGAGCTCAGGTGAATCCTGTTTCCATTGATCATCCTTGATGTTTCTACAACTTGATTGGACCCACCTTGAGATGTTTCTACAACTTGATTGGACCCACCTGTGGTCAATTCAATTGATTGGACATTATTTAGAAAGGCACACACCTGTCTATATAAGGTCCCACAGTTGACAGTGCATGTCAGAGCAAAAACCAAGCCATAAGGTCAAAATAATTGTCCGTAGAGCTCCGAGACAGGATTGTGTCGAGGCACAGATCTGGGGAAGGGTACCAAAACATTTCTGTAGCATTGAAGGTCCCCAAGAACACAGTGGCCTCCATCATTCTTAAATGGAAGAAGTTTGGAACCACCAAGACTCTTCCTAGAGCTGGCCGCCCGGCCAAACTGAGCAATTGGGGGAGAAGGGCCTTGGTCAGGGAGGTGACCTAGAACCTGATGGACACTCTGGCAGAGCTCCAGAGTTCCTCTGTGGAGATGGGAGAACCTTCCAGAAGGACAACCATCTCTGCAGTACTCCACCAATCAGGCCTTTATGGTGGCCAGACGGAAGCCACTCCTCAGTAAAAGGCACATGACAGCCCGCTTGGAGTTTGCCAAAAGGCACCTAAAGGATTCAGACCATGAGAAACAAGATTCTCTGGTCTGATGAAACCAAGATTGAACTCTTTTTGGCCTGAATGCCAAGCGTCACGTCTGGAGGAAACCTGGCACCATCCCTACGGTGAAGCATGGTGGTGGCAGTATCATGCTGTGGGGATGTTTTTCAGTGACAGGGACTGGGAGACTAATCAGGAACGAGGGAAAGATTAATGGAGCAAAGTACAGAGAGATCCTTGATGAAAACCTGCTCCAGAGCGCTCAGGACCTCAGACTGGGGTGAAGGTTCACCTTCCAACAGGACAACGACCCTAAGCACACAGCCAAGACAAATCTCTAAATGTCCTTGAGTGGCCCAGCCAGAGCCCGGACTTGAACCCGATCGAACATCTCTGGAGAGACCTGAAAATAGCTGTTCAGAGACGCTCCCCATCCAACCTGACAGAGCTTGAGGATTTACAGAGAAGAATGGGACAAACTCCCCAAATACAGGTGCCAAGCTTTTAGCGTCATACTCAAGAAGACTCGAGGCTGTAATCGCTGCCAAAGGTGCTTCAACAAAGTACTTATGTAAATGTGAAATTAACGTTTTTTATTTTTAATACATTTGCAAACATTTCTAAACTGTTTTGTCATTATGGGGTATTGTGTGTAGATTGATGAGGGGGAAACAAATAAATAATACATTTTAGAATAAGGCTGTAACGTAACAAAATGTGGAAAAGGTCAAGGGGTTTGAATACTTTCCGAATGCACTGTAAGTGAGGATAAACAAGATGTTACTCTCACCAGTCTGTGTCCCATTAGGGGGGTCTGTGTTGAACTCAACAGCGTTCCTCTGTGGACAAAATACAAAACACCTCAGCTCAGAAACACAATTTTGAAATGACACCCCTGTAAGGTTCCCAGAACATTACCCATGTAACGTTCCCAGAACATTGTCTTTTACATTGCCCGAACATTCCCTTTGTAACGTTCCCAGATCATTCCCCCTGTAACGTTCCCAGAACATTCCTTGTCTTTGTACCTGCAACAGGGCCTGTAGTCTGGCAGGCTCCCAGTCCCTGAGGTAAAAGAGACAGTCGCGTGGGTGATGAGCATGGAGACCTGTGATCTTACACTGGATTGTCTTACACGCCGTCTGACAGAGAGCGAGGGGGAGGGAGGGAGAGGGAAAGGGGTGAAGAAGGGAAAGAGAGAAAGGAAACAGACATGAGGATGGATGATGAGAAACCCCTGGCGGAATGAGAGATCCTTCCCTCTGACTGAATCCATTTAGTAAGACATTGTTTACTAGATCAGTGTTTCCCAACCAGTGGTATTTGGACCCCTGGGGGTACTTGGCCTATCCACACGGGGTACTTGAGAAGATTTGACCAGGCCTACTGGTAAAATGCACATGAGGGGGGTACTTCAGGGGTACTCCAGGCTGAGCAAAATTCAGTTGGTGGTACAGTAACTGAAAAAGGATGAGAACCACTGTCCTAGATAATATCCCTGTGCGTGGCTTACAGTATGGAAGGGATTGTTGCAGCCGCTGCAGAACTGGTATCTGCATTGGGAGCAGCTGAAATGCATGCAGCCCCCTTTGGTCAAGGCATACTGGAACCTGCAGTGAGGACAGGCTACGGAGAGGGATGACAAGAAGGGCCACATCATGGTGTTATAACAATTAGGATGATGAGATGGCATTGTGTGCCAGAAGTCAAGAGTCTCAAAGTAGGAGTGCTGATCTAGGATCAGGTCCTGTCTGTCCATATAATCTTATTCATTATGATCTAAAAGGGAAATCTGATCCTATATCAGCACCTACTCTAAAACTCTTTGTGAATACGGGCCAATAACTGCAGGTTGTTCAGGCTGACTGACTCACTGATGCCGTTGTCCCGCAGGAACCCGGCCAGCCCCTGTCTCTGGTAGTCAGGGTCATTCTGTCTCTTCCACAACTGGAACTGCTCACAGGATACATCCTGGTGCTGCACTTCCCACTGACAGAGAGATAGAGAGAGAGGGAGGGGGGAGAGAGAGCGTGAGAGAGGAGGAGAAAGAAAGATGGAGAGAGAGACGGGCATCATTATTATTTGGGTCCCACATACATTGAGGGAAAAAAGTATTTGATCCCCTGCTGATTTTGTACGCTTGCCCACTGACAAAGACATGATCAGTCTATAATTTTAATGGTAGGTTTATTTGAACAGTGAGAGACAGAATAACAACAACAAAATGTTGCTTGGCGATGGTCTTGTAGCCCATTCCAGCCTTGTGTAGGTCTACAATCTTGTCCCTGACATCCTTGGAGAGCTCTTTGGTCTTGGCCATGGTGGAGAGTTTGGAATCTGATTGATTGATTGCTTCTGTGGACAGGTGTCTTTTATACAGGTAACAAGCTGAGAATAGGAGCACTCCCTTTAAGAGTGTGCTCCTAATCTCAGCTCGTTACCTGTATAAAAGACACCTGGGAGCCAGAAATCTTTTTGATTGAGAGGGGGTCAAATACTTATTTCCCTCATTAAAATGCAAATCAATTTATAACATTTTTGACATGTGTTTTTCTGGATTTTTTTGTTGTTATTCTGTCTCTCACTGTTCAAATAAACCTACCATTAAAATTATAGACTGATCATTTCTTTGTCATAGGGCAAATGTACAAAATCAGCAGGGATCAAATACTTTTTTCCCTCACTGTACATGTAGCTATGAAATGACATAATAGATAGCAGGCAAGGCAACAACAGTTATCTTTTGTACTTACAGGCTTTTTGCATTGGTTACAAAAGCTCTTCATACACGTGGGACAGGTGACTTTGAACTGGTTTCCATCATAGATAAACCCAAAGGTGCACTGAGGAGGAAAGAGGAGGGAGGAGAAGAGAAGAGAGGGGTGGGTGAAAAGTTCAGTAGAGAAGTAACTGTATATCTGATGGAGCTGGTTAGAAACCCACTCACGTGACAGCACCACAGGAACATGGGGTCCTTCATCAGAGCATGCTCCATCAGCTTCTTGTGGAAGAGCTCGTACACCTCACGATCCAGACAGTCTCGCAGCTAAACACACAACATCAATAACGATGTAATAACCATGTAATAGCACAAGCTTCAGCAACACATGATCTCCCCATTTCCATCTGCCTATATCCCTAATAGGGTTGCAAAATTCAACAGGGAATTTTAGAAAAGTTTCTGAATTTTAGAAAATAATTCTATAGCTAGAGGTCTCCTGATATCTCCAGGAGTGATAAATATACTTTTTGTCTTAAAGGGATACTTTGGGATTTTGGCAATGAGGCCCTTTATCTACTTCCTCAGAGTCAGATTAATTCGTGGATTCCATTCTTATGTATCTGTGTCCAGTATAAAGGAATTTAGAGGTAATTTCAAGAGCCAATGCTAACTAGCGTTAGCACAATGGCTGGAAGTCTATAGGTATCTACTAGCATACTAGCAGATACCCATAGACTTCCAGTCATTGTGCTAACACTAGCTAGAATTGTCTCGTAAAACTACCTCCAACTTCCTTCATACTGGACACAGAGACATAAAAATGGAATCCGCGAATTAATCTGACTCTGGGGAAGTAGATAAAGGGCATCAAGTATTCCTTTAATATGTTGTCTACAGTCGTGGTCAAACATTTTGAGAATGACACAAGTATTGTTCTTCACAAAGTTTGCTGCTTCAGTGTTTTTAAATATTTTTGTCAGATGTTACTATGGTATACTGAAGTATAATTACAAGCATTCCATAAGTGTCAAAGGCTTTTATTGAAAATTACATTAAGTTTATTACATTTAGCAGACGCTCTTATCCAGAGCAATTAGGGTTAAGTGCCTTGCTCAAGGGCACATCGACAGATTTTTCACCTAGTTGGCTCGGGGATTAGAACCAGCGACCTTTCGGTTACTCGCACAACGCTCTTAACCACTAAGCTACCTGCCACCATGCAAAGAGTCAATATTTGCAGTGTTGACCCTTCTTTTTCAAGACCTCTGCAATCTGCCCTGGCATGCTGTCAATTAACTTCTGGGCCACATCCTGACTGATAGCAGCCCATTATTGCATAATCAATGCTTGGAGTTTGTCCGAATTTGTGGGTTTTTGTTTGTCCACCCGCCTCTTGAGGATTGACCACAAGTTCTCAATGGGATTAAGGTCTGAGGAGTGTCCTGGCCATGAAGCCAAAATGTTGATGTTTTGTTCCCCGAGCCACTTAGTTATCACTTTTGCCTTATGGCAAGGTGCTCAATCATGCTGGAAAAGGCATTGTTTGTCACCAAACTGTTCTTGGATGGTTAGGAGAAGTTGCTCTCGGAGCATGTGTTGGTACCATTCTTTATTCATGGCTGTGTTCTTAGACAAAATTGTGAGTGAGCCCACTCCCTTGGCTGAGAAGCAACCCCACACATGAATGGTCTCAGGATGCTTTACTGTTGGCATGACACAGGACTGATGGTAGCGCTCACCTTGTCTTCTCCGGACAAGCTTTTTTTCCGGATGCCCCAAACAATTGGAAAGGGGATTCATCAGAGAAAATGACTTTACCCCAGTCGTCAGCAGTCCAATCCCTGTACCTTTTGCAGAATATCAGTCTGTTCCTAATGTTGTTCCTGGAGAGAAGTGGCTTCCTCGCTGCCCTTCTTGACACCAGGCCATCCAGATGCACTCACACCTGCCTGCTGCCATTCCTGAGCAAGCTCTGCACTGGTGGTGCCCCGATTCCGCAGCTGAATCAACTTTACTCCTGGCGCTTGCTGGACTTTCTTGGGCGCCCTGAAGCCTTCTCCACAACAATTGAACCTCTCTCCTTGAAGTTTTTGATGATCCGATAAATGGTTGATTTAGGTGCAATCTTACTAGCAGCAATATCCTTGCCTGTGAAGCCCTTTTTGTGCAAGGCAATGATGACGGCACATGTTTCCTTGCAGGTAACCATGGTTAACCGAGGAAGAACAATGATTTCAAGCACCACCCTCCTTTTAAAGCTTCCAGTCTGTTATTCTAACTCAATCAGCATGACAGAGTGATCTCCAGCCTTGTCCTCGTCAACACGCTCACCTGTGTTAACGAGAGAATCACTGACATGATGTCAGCTGGTCCTTTTGTGGCAGGGCTGAAATGCAGTGGAAATGTTTTTTTGGGATTAAGTTCATTTTAATTGCAATTAATCTGATCACTCTTCATAACATTCTGGAGTATATGCAAATTGCCATCATAAAAACTGAGGCAGCATACTTTGTGAAAATTAATATTTGTGTCATTCTCAAAACTTTTGACCACGACTGTAGTACTGTCTTTTTGCTAGCTAGGGCCATCTACCTTAAATGCTGTCTGTCTTCCCAGTAGCCTACTTGGTGTGTGAACTGCTCACTGCTCATAACTTGCAGATGATTGTTGACACATCAACCAGGATTAGGGGCAGGGCAATTTGTGACTTGTGGTTTTGGTAATCGGTGTCAGCGGCGGTCTCGTCGTCAAAACTAAGACCGTCGCCGAAACAAAGACGATACTGCCGAGATGTTCGAGGAAGGAAAGAGAGGAAGGCTCCACACCACTCTCACTTTAGTATTTTACCTAGTTATTTTCAGATCTAATTTAGCTATTTTGTAGCTTTGGCAACTATATGTGTGTGTTTTCTATCCCAGTAGGCTTTACAGACGCTCCTCTCCCCGTGGCTGCAACCCTTCTAATTTAGTGTACCCTGCGCGCACCACCCATGTGGAATTTCTGGTCTCCAGCAGCGTTTGGAACTGCTGATCTGCGGTAAAGATTGGCGAGTTAATCTCAGCCTATGCTGCCCTTCAATCCCTAGACGTTTTGGCCCTGATGGAGACATCACCACAGCGAACACTGCTACTCCAGCTGCTCTCTCTTCATCTGACTACATTTTCTCTCATAGTCCGACAGCATCTGGTCATCGCGGAGGTGGCACAGGGCTGCTCATTCATCCTAAATGGAGATTTTCTATTTTCTCCCTCTCTCACTTGTCCATCTCCTCATTTGAATTCTATGCTGTCACTGTCACTTGTCCACTCAAGCTTAACATTATTGTCATCTACTGTATCGCCCACCAGGTGCCCTTAGAGTTCCTCAATGAGCTTGACACCTTGATAAGCTAATTTTGTCTCACTGCTCTTCGTACTGGGCGACTTCACCCTCCCGACGTCTGCCTTCGATTCATTTCTTTCCTTTCCTTGCCTCTTGACCTCACCCTTTCCCAGTCCCCTCCCACTCATGAGGCAGGCAATACGCTTGACCTCGTCTTTACTAGAGGCTGTTTGCCGACTAATCTCACGGCAATCCTCCTCCAGGTGTCTGATCACTACTTTGTTTATTTTCTGTCTCCCTCTTCTCCAATCCTACCCCTGAGCCCCTACCCAGATGGTCATGTGCCGTCGCAATCTGCGCCCTCTCTCTCTCCCACTACTTCTCCTTCCTATCCTATCATCTCTCTCTTCTGCTAAATCCTTCTCCCTCCTGTCTCCTGATTCTGCCTCTTCGACCCTAATATCCTCCCTTTCCGCATTATACTGTATGACTCACACTGTCACCTTTCCTCCAGGCTGGCTCGGTCCTCCCTTTCTGCTCAGTGGCTGAGTGACTCATTGCGAGCTTACAGAACAGGGCTGTGGGCAGCTGAGCGAAAATGGAGGAAAACTAAACTTCCGGAGGACCTATCATCCTTTCACTCCCTCCTCTCTACCTTCTCTTCCTCTGTATCCCCTGCTAAAGCCACTTTCTATCACTCTAAATTTCAAGCTTCTGCCTCTAATCCTAGGAAACTCTTTTCCACCTTCTCCTCCCTCCTTAATCCTCCTACCTCTCTGCGGAAGACTTTGTCAACCACTTTGAAAATAAGGTTTACAACATCCGCTCCTCAAGTGCCATCCGTTTTGTCACCAAAGCCCCATATACTACTCACCATTGTGACCTGTACGTTCTTGTTGGCTGGCCCTCACTACATATTCGTCGCCAAACCCACTGGCTCCAGGTCATCTATAAATCACTGCTAGGCAAATCCCCGCCTTATCTTAGCTCACTGGTCACCATAGCAACACCCACCCGTAGTCTGCGCTCCAGCAGGTATATCTCACTGGTCATCCCCAAAGCCAACACCTCCTTTGGACGCCATTCCTTCCAGTTCTCTGCTGCCAATGACTGGAACGAACTGCAAAAATCTCTGAAGCTGGAGACTCTTATCTCCCTCACTAACTTTAAGCATCAGTTGTCAGAGCAGCTTACCGATCACTGCACCTGTACACAGCCATTCTGAAATTAGCCCACCCAACTACCTCATCCCCATATTGTTATTTATTTAGCTAATTTGCACCCCAGTATCTCTATTTGCACATCATCTTTTGCACATCTATCATTCCAGTGTTAATACGTAATTGTAACTATTTTGCACTAAGGCCTATCTTTGCCAGGTCGCAGTTGTAAATGAGAACTTGTCCTCAACTGGCCTACCTGGTTAAATATATATATATATTTTTTATTCACTCAACCTATTGAGTCCACTGGTCCCACTCACACAGAACTATGCTACGTCTTGACCTCTTTCTCCCCTCTCTATCCAGATGAAATTCTGCAAACAGTGAGTTCCGGCCGTCCGAGAACCTGCCCGCTCGACCATCTCTTGAGACCTTCTCCCATTCCTCACTTCCCTCATCAACTCATCCCTGACCACTGGCTGCATCCCCTCTGACTTCAAAATGGCCAGAGTCGCTCCCCTCCTCAAGAAACCAACATTCGACCTCTCTGACGTCAAAAACTACAGACTAGTATAATTTCTTTCTTTTCTTTCCAAACCAATTGAATGCTGTCTCTGACTAACTCTTTCGATAACTCTCTCAGAACAATCTTCTTGACCCTAACCAGTCAGGCTTCAAGACGGGTCACTCAACCGAGACTGCTCTTCTGTGTCACGGCCGCACTGCCAAAGCTGACTCTCTCTCCTCTGTTCTCATCCTCCTAGATCTATCCACTGCCTTTGACACTGTGAACCATCAGATCCTCCTCTCCACCCTCTCAGGCTCTGCAAACCCTTGGATTGCATCCTCCCTGGCAGGCCGCTCCTAACAGGTGACATGGAGAGGATCTGTGTCTGCACCACTTACTCTCACTACTGGTGTTCCCCAGGGCTCGGTTCTAGGCCCTCTCCTCTTCTCTCTATACACAAAGTCACTCAGCTCTGTCATATCCTCACATTGTCTCTTTTATCATTGCTATGTGGATGACACTCAACTACTTTTCTACTTCCTCCCTTCTGACATCCCAGGTGGCAACACGTATCTCTGCATGCCTGGAAAATATCTCAGCTTGGATGTCGGCCCACTACCTCAAGCTCAACCTCGACAAGACGGAGCTGCTCTTCCTCCCGGGGAAGGCCTGCCCGCTCCAAGACCTCTCCATCACGGTTGACAACTCCACGGTGTCCCCCTCCCAGAGTGCATAGAATCTTGGCCTGACCCTGGACAACACCCTGTCGTTCTTTGCAAACATCAAAGCATTGACTCCCTCCTGCAGGTTCATGCTCTACAACATCCATAGAGTATGATCTTACCTCACACAGGAAGCGGTGCAGGTCCTAATCCAGGCACTTGTCATCTCCCGTTTGGACTACTGCAACTCGCAGGCTGGGCTCCCCGTTTGTGCCATCAGGCCCCTGCAACTTATCCAAAACGATGCAGCCCGCTTGGTGTTCAACCATCCCAAATTCTCCCATGTCACCCCGCTCCTCCACACACACCACTGGCTTCCAGTCAAAGCTCGCGTCCACTACAAGACCATGGTACTTGCCAACGGAGCAGCAAGAGGAACTCTCCCTCCCTACCTTCAGGCTCTGCTCAAACCCTACACCCCAACCAGAGTAATCCGTTCTGCCACCTCTGGTCTCTTGGCACTCCCACCCGTACGGAAGGACAGCTCCCACTCAGCCCAGTCCAAGCTCTTCTCTGTCCTGTCACCCCAATGGTAGAACCAGCTTCCCCCAGAAGCTAGGACAGCAGAGTCCCTGTCCATCTCCCAAAAACATCTGAAACCCTACCTCTTCAAAGAGTATCTTAAATAATCCCACAGCACCCCTCCCCAACAAAAACTTTCCCCCCCCTACTAGCACTGACTTTGCTGATAGCTACGTTATTGAGGAAAAATGTACTTACTATGTCTGAGATGTGGTTGTCGCATCTAGCTATCTTAAAATGAATACACTAACTGTAAGTCGCTCTGGATAAGAGCGTCTGCTAAATGACACACATTTTAAAATGTAGAAAATAACCTTCCTCCCTTATATCTCCATCTTTCCTTCTATAGTACAGTTGAAGTCGGAAGTTTACATACACCTTAGCCAAATACATTTAAACTCAGTTTTTCACAATTCCTGACATTTAAACCTAGTAAAAATTCCCTCTTAGGTCAGTTAGGATCACCACTTTATATTAAGAATGTGAAATGTCAGAATAATAGTAGAGAATGATTCATTTCAGCTTTTATTTCTTTCATCACATTCCCAGTGGGTCAGAAGTTTGCATACACTCAATTAGTATTTGGTAGCATTGCCTTTAAATTGTTTAACTTGGGTCAAACGTTTCGGGTAGCCTTCCACAAGCTTCCCACAATAAGTTGGGTGAATTTTGGCCCATTCCTCCTGACAGAGCTGGTGTAACTGAGTCAGGTTTGTAGGCCTCCTTTCTCGCACACGCTTTTTCAGTTCTGCCCACAAATGTTATATATATAGGATTGAGGTCAGGGCTTTGTGATGGCCACTCCAATACCTTGACTTTGTTGTCCTTAAGCCATTTTGCCACAACTTTGGAAGTATGGTTGGGGTCATTGTCCATTTGGAAGACCCATTCGCGACCAAGCTTTAACTACCTGACTGATGTCTTGAGATGTAGCTTCAATATATCCACATAATTTTCCTTCCTCATGATGCCATCTATTTTGAGAAGTGCACCAGTCCCTCCTGCAGCAAAGCACCCCCACAGCATGATGCTGCCTCCCCCGTGCTTCACGGTTGGGATGGTGTTCTTCGGCTTGCAAGCGTCCCCCTTTTTCCTCCAAACATAACGATGGTCATTATGGCCAAACAGTTCCATTTGTGTTTCATCAGACCAGAGGACATTTCTCCAAAAAGTACGATCTTTGTCTCCATGTGCAGTTGCAAACCGTAGTCTGGCTTTTTTATGGCGGTTTTGGAGCAGTGGCTTCTTCCTTGCTGAGCGGCCTTTCAGGTTATGTCGATATAGGACTCGTTTTACTGTGGATATAGATACTTTCGTACCTGTTTTCTCCAGCATCTTCACAAGGTCCTTTGCTGTTGTTCTGGGATTGATTTGCACTTTTCACAACAAAGTACGTTAATCTCTAAGAGACAGAACGCGTCTCCTTTCTGAGCGGTATGACGGCTGCGCGGTCTCATGGTGTTTATACTTGCGTACTATTGTTTGTACAGATGAACGTGGTACCTTCAGGTGTTTGGAAATTGCTCCCAAGGATGAACCAGACTTGTGGAGGTCTACAATTTTTTTTCGGAGGTCTTGGCTGATTTCTTTTGATTTTCCCATGATGTCAAGCAAAGAGGCACTGAGTTTGAAGGTAGGCCTTGAAATACATCCACAGGTACACCTCCAATTGACTCAAATGATGTCAATTAGCCTATCAGTAGCTTCTAAAGCCATTACATCATTTTCTGGAATTTTCCAAGCTGTTTAAAGGCACAGTCAACTTAGTGTATGTAAACTTCTGACCCACTGGAATTGTGATACAGTGAATTATAAGTGAAATAATCTGTCTGTAAACAATTGTTGGAAAAATTACTTGTGTCATGCACAAAGTAGATGTCCTAACCGACTTGCCAAAACTATAGTTTGTTAACAATAAATTTGTGGAGTGGTTGAAAGACGAGTTTTAATGACTCCAACCTAAGTGTATGTAAACTTCCGACTTCAACTGTATGTACCTGGATGTCCAGGGTAGAGAAGTAGCTGTCCAGGTGCTCAGGGTCGTTGATGTCTGGTCCTGCACACACGGGACACACCATGTCTCTAATGTGTTTGTCTCTTACAGCGATGGTGAAGTGCTGCGTGAAACATTCGTGGCACACCGAGCACTGACACGAGGTCAGGGACTGCATCTGTGATCGGTACAGAGAATTCATACAGGATCAAGGATAAGGAGCAACACTTTAAAGACCATACAGGGAGGAGGTAATAAGAGCTCATCATCCACTCCAAGGCAAAGACAGACAGAGCCCCAGCAGCCCACCTTGCTGTGGGGGAAGATGCTGAGGCAACAGGGGCACTCGTTGTTGAGGAGGCGGCGGAGGAACTCCCTGTCCTGGGACTCTCTGACAGCCTGGATGACGTCCTCCAGGGAGTACTGGGCCTCAGGCTCCTGGAGTAGAGAGAGGGCCAGCTCACAGCGCCCCCAGCTCGGCAGCTCGTACAACGCCAGCAGGCGCCTGCACATCCGCTGAGGTAACACAATGTAGGTTCATGGTGATAAACAATCAGGTTATTTGTTTTGTGTGTGGTCTTGAACATTGTTGTTCATCAAGTTCTGCTGGCTCTCGTGCACACACACACACCTGTTTGTCGGGGCTCTTGGCATCGATAGGGGCCTCTAGCGTGTCGCTCCAGATGCGCTGGTGGAAGGGCTCCAGGAGGGGCCTCTGCAGCACGGACAGAGCCCCCTGCACCTCTCCTCCACTCAGACGCAGAGCCTCCTCACACTGGGACGCCTCCCGGAAACCCAGAGAACGCAGCTCGCGCATCTACACACACCAGAGACAGACGCAGTCAGACTGGATACTGCAGTGGATGTACTTTGCATATAGGCTTACACAGACTAACTCAGTCAACTCTAAGCTCTTGGTTACTTGAGTTGATATCGAAAGTGTTTATCCGTCTTGAGTGACCATTTGGGTCAGTTGACATGTCTGGTTCTCACCTTGACCTGTCTGTCTCTGAGCAGCTGACGGACTGCTCTCTCAGTGTCGCCTCCTGCTGCCAGCCATGCCTGCTTGGCCTCAACCCTGGACAGCTGCACCCCCTCTCCCAGCAGCACACTGGGACTCTGCTGCTCTGTCGAACCCCCATCCTGCTCAGTGTTATCCTGCGGCCCAGAAACCCCCGCTTTGTAGTTCTGCAAAGCAGCTGAAGCCGCCATGGCACAGATCTCATCCAGTAGGTGGGGCAGCTCTGATTTTAGCCAATCGCAGGGGTTGACGTTGCTGCCCCCGGAAAAGCAGAGGGCTGCGTAGACCTCCTCAGGGCCCACTCCCTTCTTCTCTCCCTCCTGAGGAAGGACATTAGGTTAGCAGTTAGAAAACGATAGTAGCAGTTCATCTGGTTTTAATTCACATTGTGTCCATTTGTACTCCACCCACTCGTATTTGATGGACAAGTTTCAGCCCATCATCCCTCATCAGGTTCTGTCTCTTGATGTCGATGTTCACCCTGGGAGGGATCTGGGGACGGAATTGGGGCGTAGAAGGAGGCGAGGCTAAGTCTTTGATTGGAGACTGCAGGGGGAGGGACTTGAGGCTGGTGACAGCAGGATCTTTACACGGCATGTTGCACATCCCACAAACCACTACAGGCTGAGAGTTCACATAGGTGCAGAACTCACACATCCACTAGAGAGAGAGAGAGAGAGAGACGGCATGGGGGGGGGGATTAAAACAGAAATTATACGCTGAAATGATTAGGTCTCACATAGCATTCCAATAGTAGAGACTATTTAAACCACTGGGGGTCAAACCTCTGTTTCGTTATCTGACGTGGGTCCTGGCATGGAGAGTACTGGAGTACTGGGGAGTCCTGGCGTGATAGAGGGACGGGTGGCCAGACGGGGGCGCTCACACACCTCACAGAGTATACTGCTGCCCTGGTTCACAACCGTACAGCTCTTACACTGCCACTCTACGAAAGAGGTCAGAGACAGTAGATTAATAAATAGCCTTGTATTGATCTAGCTCAGTTTCTGTCTATGACTGTATAATTACATTACTGATGTATTATCACTGCTATAGAGGCACAGATGGCATGAACACCTCAAACAGGACAGGATAGGTGACTGATGTGTTGTTTTAATGAACGTCACATGAAAACTACTCAACAGTTGACCCATGTATATGAATCTGACCTGTGTTGGATGGCGGTTGCCCTGGGTCCTCCTGAACTATAAGGGAAGCGATGGCCAGGCGGGGTCGTTCACAGGTCACACACAGCACGGCCTTCACCTCGTTGACTGTAGTGCACTGAGCACACTCCCACGAGGAAAGAGAGTGGCTGATAAAGAGGAGAAACACGAGTGAGAGAAATAAGTGTGTGTGTGTGTGTGTGTGTGTGTGTGTGTGTGTGTGTGTGTGTGTGTGTGTGTGTGTGTGTGTGTGTGTGTGTGTGTGTGTGTGTGTGTGTGTGTGTGTGTGTGTGTGTGTGTGTGTGTGGAGTCAAATATTAACACTTCCTAATTTCTAACCTTAAAGCTCTTTTTGGTTTGGCGTGGGAAACAATTGTCCTGTTGTGACCCCCGCGGTCCGGGTGAGAATGGTACAGTCTGTCACACTCCAGACACAGCCTCTGAGAACAGGTGGAGCAATGGGCAAAGACTTGGGACACACCACAGAGGGTACAGGTCTCTAAGGGGGGGAGTTTAAAAAGATGATCAGTGTTAAGTTTAGAAAAGAATATTCAAAGAAATCGAGGATAAAAAGTGAAATGATGGTCAAAGCTATTACCCATATCTTACCCTGTATTCTATCTCTCCTGTGATTGGCTCTGGACGGGTGCAGGTGGTAGAGGAGGTCACATGACTGACAGAAGGGAAGAGAACCACAGGACAGGCAGAGGAGAGAGGGAGTGGCACCGCACAAATCACACATCCCATCTTAGAAAGCAGAGAGAAAGGAGCAGTAAGGGGTTTGTCATCAGCTGACACTACAACACATTTGCCAGATGACATAAATGCCAGCGGACAGAAAGCAGGCAGGTGGCTAAGTGACAGGTAGACTGGTACAGGGAATGGCTGCTTGTCTCACCAGTAGGAGTGGTGGGGGCATGTCCTAGTCCAGGACTGGGTGCAGGTTTGGGTGGAGGAGACAGCGGCTGAAGGTCTTTCCCCCTGTCCTCTCCTGGTGGAATGACCACCGCATCAGACATCAGCTCTGGTTCATCCTGAGGAGAGCAGAATAGCCATTAGTCAGCATGGCAACACTAATAACAGAAAGAGGTAGAGGTAGAAACAGACGAACCAATTAACCACCAACTGTACATTACACAGACCTGGGTTGTCTTCTGTAGACTAGGGAATGGGATGATATTGCTGTACATTTCTGGGTGAGCATGTGTACCCTGACAGGCAAAAAACAACACATTACCACATAAGAGAGCAAACATGGAAACATGTCTTTGTGGTCATCCTCAAATTGAGAATTACAGAAATGTAAACGTTTTTATGAGATAATAACCCTCGTAGATTTCTCTCATATGAATGTTCACCTTGATGAGCATGTCCAATTCCATGCGCAGGATCATGACCTCAATAGTCACCGCAGCAACCTTCTCAACGTCTGGATCTGTGACATCATCAGGGAAGCTGAGGCCATCTGGCTGCTGTTTGGTGTAACCGTAAAGAAATAGGACTGACCTGCCACCCTGTAGAAAAGAAAGCAGACAGTAGAATAAATCACCATTGACTCAAATGAGTGAAAAAGTAAACTCAAATGCTTTAAATATCAGTACCCACGATTCTAGGTCTATGACCTACTAAGGCACTCTAAACATCGCTTATTAATCCACTCCCTTTTTGAACCATCTGACAATTCATAGTGAAATAAATGGATAAGATAACCTTCAGACTCTGTAATCCGTACTATGCATAAGGAAGTCTATCATTATACTGTAAGAATAGGGCTGGAGGTTCCTGACAGGGTTTAGAGAGGCCTCTCTCTCTCCTCACCTTGATGGCGTCCACGGTAGCCCTGAAGACTGGGTTGTTGTGTTTAACACTCCGCCAGTACTTGGGCCTGCTGGGGCTGGTCAGGTTACAGCCATACTTCTCCAGGATACTCAAGGCTTTAAACAGCCGGCCCAAAGACTCTAGGACCTGGGGAGGGAGGGTAGCAGGAGGGCAGACAGGGAGAAAGAAAGCATAGCTATGTGAAGACGGTAAGGAGGCACATAATGTGAAACAAGGGATACAGTTGAATGTCAAAACATGTCTCACCTCTTGCCTTCTGTGCCCTGTGATGTTCTCTGTCACCATGGTCTGTGCTGTGATGTGGTGAAACTTGTCACACAGGGACAGAGGGATGTTGGCCATTACCTGGACATCAGCCTTTACCAACTGGGCAGAGCCTGAGGAGGATAAGAGGGACTCAGCTCTCCTCCGCACCTCCTCAAACGGGACAGACTGGGTACTCATCATTCAGACTCTGGGGGAGAGAGATAAATAATGACAGTATGGTCAACTCTGGGCTGGGATTGTTGGCTGATATACAGTGCATTCAGAAATTATTCAGACCCCTTGACTTTTTCCACATTTTGTTACGTTACAGCCTTATTCTAAAATTGATTAAATAAATAAAAATCCTCATCAATCTAAACACAATACCCCATAATGACAAAGCGAAAACAGGTTTTTAGAATTTTTGCACATTTATAAAAAAACTAAAACAGAAATAAGTATTCAGATCCTTTGCTATGAGACTCAAAATTGAGCTCAGGTGCATCCTGTTTCCATTGTTCATCCTTGAGATGTTTCGATGTTTCTACAACTTGATTGGAGTCCACCTGTGGTAAATTCAATTGATTGGACATGATTTGGAAAGGCCCACACCTTTCTATATAAGGTCCCACAGTTGACAGTGCAGTTAGAGAAAAAACCAAGCCATGAAGTCGAAGGAATTGTCCGTAGAGCTCCGAGACAGGATTGTGTCGAGGCACAGATCTGGGGAAGGGTACCAAAACATTTCTGTAGCATTGAAGGTCCCCAAGAACACAGTGGCCTCCATCATTCTTAAATGGAAAAAGTTTGGAACCACCAAGACTCTTCCTAGAGCTGGCCGTCCGGCCAAACTGAGCAATCGGGGGTGAAGGCTCTTGGTAAGGGAGGTGACCAAGAACCCGATGGCAGAGCTCTGGCAGAGCTCCATAGTTCTTCTGTGGAGATGGGAGAACCTTCCAGAAGAACAACGATCTCTGCAGAACTCCACCAATCAGGCCTTTATGGTAGAGTGGCCGGATGGAAGCCACTCCTCCGTAAAAGGCACATGACAGCCCACTTGGAGTTTGCCAAAAGGCACCTAAAGACTCCTAGACCATGAGAAGCAAGATTATCTGGTCTGATGAAACCAAGATTTAACTATTTGGCCTGAATGCCAAGTGTCACGTCTGGAGGAAACCTGCCCCCATCCCTACGGTGAAGCATGATGGTGGCAGCATCATGCTGTGAGGATGTTTTTCAGCGGCAGGGACTGGGAGACTAGTCAGGATCGAGGGAAAGATGAACGGAGCAAAGTACAGAGATCCTTGATGAAAACTGGCTCCAGAGCACTCAGGACCTCCGACTGGGGCGTAGGTTCACCTTCCAACAGGACAACGACCCTAAGCACACAGCCAAGACAACGCAGGAGTGGCTTCGGGACAAGTCTTTGAATGTCCTTGAGTGGCCCTGCCAGAGCCCGGACTTGAACCTGATCTAACATCTCTGGGGACCTGAAAATAGCTGTGCAGCAATGCTTCCCATCCAAACTGACAGAGCTTGAGAGGATCTGCAGAGAAGAATGGGAGAAACTCCCCAAATACAGGTGTGCCAAGCTTGTAGTGTCATACCCAAGAAGACTCGAGGCTGTAATCACTGCCAAAGGTGCTTTAACAAAGTCCTGAGTAAAGGGTCTGAATACTTACTTAAATGTTATCCTTTTTTTTTTTTTTTATACATTTGCAAACATTTCTAAAAACCTGTTTTTGCTTTGTCATTATGGGGTATTGTGTGTAGATTGATGAGGGGAAAAAACAATGTAATCCATTTTAGAATAAGGCTGTAACGTAATACTTTTCTAATGCACTGTTGGTAGGCCTAGTACCGTCTTCTATGTAGCTAGCTAGCTAGCTGAGTGTAGTGTCTATGTAGCAACTCTATCTACTGTGACGATTGAAGTACGTTGAAGTTGGATGTCCGGTGTAGCTCAGTTGGTAGAGCATGGCGCTTGCAACGCCAGGGTTGTGGGTTTGATTCCCACGGGGGGGCAGTATGAATAAACGTAAGCACTCACTAACTGTAAGTCGCTTTGGATAAGATCGTCTGCTTAAATGTAAGTTAGCTATTGTTATCTCAAAATGACACAGTGACACTAGATAGCTGTGAACTTTACAGTTAGTAGATGTACTGAAATTGAAGTGGCAAATTTAGTTGGCTGGCAAGTCTATTTCTGACCATGCGTCAGCTAACTTATTCCTGTTTGACTGGCTAGCAGGTTGAAATCGAAAGTTTATGATGACAGTCAGATCAGTGCTTGTCTTACCTTTATCTTCAGCGTTTCCAGATGTATTTTATGATCCAGGTCCTTCTGAATCCAATAGACTTTAATATCAAGGCAATATGTAGCTACATTTCCAGAGTCACGTCGTTCTTCTGAATCTTTTCTTTAAAAGAATAAAGTCACAACAGTAGAAATGTAATTTATTTGACGCGGAAGTCATCAAGGGGGCGGCACAGAAGGAGCCAAAATCTTTGGGGGCGGACTGTAGATTAAACATCGATGTACACTACCCTCTAGTGGTCATAGATATATCAGTTACCTGTAATTACACTGACTTGAGTTCACAACATTGTTATTACATTATTATAAATCAATCACCTCAATCAATCATGTTCTGGATACTTCATCTTCTTTAGGACAGTTAAATGTACAACTGAAAGCCACAAACTGCTGTTCAAGTGGTCTTCTTGGAACTGAACACAAAACACTATCTTAGAAATATTACTTTTCATGGTTGGACTACTTTCATTCATTATTCATAGGAAGAAAAATATCTTAAAGACCAGTTCAACTCTTCTGTGTGTAAGCTTTTATTAATTAATCTCTATGCCCTGGTCTATATGCCCAATGTCCAAAGATTGTACTATCTCTGTTCTACCACTAGAGGAAGCAACTGCTATTTTAGTAAATGTTGTGCCTTCTCATCATGACATGGCAAGAAGAACTCACAGTGTCATTGAAGTTATTGCAATGACAATGATATGGTCACTGGGTCACACATAGGGTAGTGGTCAGTATCATGGCTTGAACAACAAAAGGACTCCATCCTTTCTTCAGGTGAGGGCCTTTATGTGAGAGGGCATATGATTCTCAATTTGACTACAGTCAGTGATATCTAACCCAGGCCTGTACTAACATATCAGGGTCTGAAGGTCCTCCACAGGGCACTGGTGACAGATTGAGAGTTATACTAATGCCAATGCAGGTCAATTGCAGAATCCAGGCAGTTCATTACCCATGACTTTGCACTCTAGTTAGCATCTAGAGTATCACTCATGTATTGGTGCTGCTGGCGACTTGCTATTGCCAGAAAGGGCCATTAGCACTGAAAATGGGACGCCCCTTATACCATTCTCACGCAATAAGGTTTGGGCCAAGCACAACAGACCTCCATCACGCATCACTTAGATTGGCCTCGGATCTGTAACCTGATACCCATTTATCAGACTAATCACACCTTCAGATCAGGACCTACATGTGGGTTGTTATAGGAATTACCCACAGTAACATCCAGAAGCTGTCTGAGAGGGCTCTAAAAGGTTGAGGATATGTTATACCAAAGCAACTTACATGACTGTAAGTTGCTTTGGATAAAAGAGTCTGCTAAATGGCATATTATTATGAATAAAGACTGTGACAGAAAAGGCAAAACTCAAGATTTCAATTATATCAAAGTACCTTTGAAAGGAAAGCAACACCACATTTTCCACTCAATGAGGGTGCTACAGCTCTATAATATACATTGGAAATACAAAATGGTTTTGTGTCCCACCTACACCTGCAGTGTAATACAATATCTGTGGTAAGTTCCAATCCTGTTTTTGTAGAAAATTAGATCCAAAGATTTAGGAAGAGACTATTTAATGATATAATAGGCACATCTTTAATACAAGCAGCTGCAGGGGAGATCCACCTCTGAACTCAGAGTAAATGGTTACATGTCCCTTATACAGTGAGGGAAAAAAGTATTTGATCCCTGCTGATTTTGTACGTTTGCCCACTGACAAAGACATGGACAGTCTATAATATTAATGGTAGGTTTATTTGAACAGTGAGAGATAGAATAACAACAATAAAATCCAGAAAAACGCATGTTATAAATTGATTTGCATTTTAATGAGGGAAATAATTATTTGACCCCTCTGCAAAACATGACTTAGTACTTTGTGGCAAAACCCTTGTTGGCAATAACAGAGGTCAGACGTTTCTTGTAGTTGGCCACCAGGTTTGCACACATCTCAGGAGGGATTTTGTCCCACTCCTCTTTGCAGATCTTCTCCAAGTCATTAAGGTTTCGAGCCTGACGTTTGGCAACTCGAACCTTCAGCTCCCTCCACAGATTTTCTATGGGATTAAGGTCTGGAGACTGGCTAGGCCACTCCAGGACCTTAATGTGCTTCTTCTTGAGCCACTCCTTTGTTGCCTTGGCCGTGTGTTTTGGGTCATTGTCATGCTGGAATACCCATCCACGACCCATTTTCAATGCCCTGGCTGAGGGAAGGAGGTTCTCACCCAAGATTTGACGGTACATGGCCCCGTCCATCGTCCCTTTGATGCGGTGAAGTTGTCCTGTCCCCTTAGCAGAAAAACACCCCCAAAGCATAATGTTTCCACCTCCATGTTTGACGGTTGGGATGGTGTTCTTGGGGTCATAGGCAGCATTCCTCCTCCTCCAAACACGGCGAGTTGAGTTGATGCCAAAGAGCTCCATTTTGGTCTCATCTGACCACAACACTTTCACCCAGATCTCCTCTGAATCATTCAGATGTTCATTGGCAAACTTCAGACTGGCATGTATATGTGCTTTCTTGAGCAGGGGGACCTTGCGGGCGCTACAGGATTTCAGTCCTTCACGGTGTAGTGTGTTACCAATTGTTTTCTTGGTGACTATGGTCCCAGCTGCCTTGAGATCATTGACAAGATCCTCCCATGTAGTTCTGGGCTGATTCCTCACCGTTCTAATGATCATTGCAACTCCACGAGGTGAGATCTTGCATGGAGCCCCAGGCCGAGGGAGATTGACAGGTCTTTTGTGTTTCTTCCATTTGCGAATAATCACACCAACTGTTGTCACCTTCTCACCAAGCTGCTTGGCGATGGTCTTGTAGCCCATTCCAGCCTTGTGTAGGTCTACAATCTTGTCCCTGACATCCTTGGAGAGCTCTTTGGTCTT